GGTCTAGGTCTAGGTCTAGGTCTAGGTCTAGGTCTAGGTCTAGGTCTAGGTCTAGGTCTAGGTCTAGGTCTAGGTCTAGGTCTAGGTCTAGGTCTAGGTCTAGGTCTAGGTCTAGGTCTAGGTCTAGGTCTAGGTCTAGGTCTAGGTCTAGGTCTAGGTCTAGGTCTAGGTCTAGGTCTAGGTCTAGGTCTAGGTCTAGGTCTAGGTCTAGGTCTAGGCCTAGGTCTAGGTCTAGGTCTAGGTCTAAATCTAGGTCTAGGTCTAAATCTAGGTCTAGGTCTAGGTCTAGGTCTAGGTCTAGGTCTAGGTCTAGGTCTAGGTCTAGGTCTAGGTCTAGGTCTAGGTCTAGGTCTAGGTCTAGGTCTAGGTCTAGGTCTAGGTCTAGGTCTAGGTCTAGGTCTAGGTCTAGGTCTAGGTCTAGGTCTAGGTCTAGGTCTAGGTCTAGGTCTAGGTCTAGGTCTAGGTCTAGGTCTAGGTCTAGGTCTAGGTCTAGGTCTAGGTCTAGGTCTAGGTCTAGGTCTAGGTCTAGGTCTAGGTCTAGGTCTAGGTCTAGGTCTAGGTCTAGGTCTAGGTCTAGGTCTAGGTCTAGGTCTAGGTCTAGGTCTAGGTCTAGGTCTAGGTCTAGGTCTAGGTCTAGGTCTAGGTCTAGGTCTAGGTCTAGGTCTAGGTCTAGGTCTAGGTCTAGGTCTAGGTCTAGGTCTAGGTCTAGGTCTAGGTCTAGGTCTAGGTCTAGGTCTAGGTCTAGGTCTAGGTCTAGGTCTAGGTCTAGGTCTAGGTCTAGGTCTAGGTCTAGGTCTAGGTCAAGGTCTAGGTCTAGGTCTAGGTCTAGGTCTAGGTCTAGGTCTAGGTCTAGGTCTAGGTCTAGGTCTAGGTCTAGGTCTAGGTCTAGGTCTAGGTCTAGGTCTAGGTCTAGGTCTAGGTCTAGGTCTAGGTCTAGGTCTATGTCTAGGTCTAGGTCTAGGTCTAGGTCTAGGTCTAGGTCTAGGTCTAGGTCTAGGTCTAGGTCTAGGTCTAGGTCTAGGTCTAGGTCTAGGTCTAGGTCTAGGTCAAGTTCTAGGTCTAGGTCTAGGTCTAGGTCTAGGTCTAGGTCTAGGTCTAGGTCTAGGTCTAGGTCTAGGTCTAGGTCTAGGTCTAGGTCTAGGTCTAGGCCTGGGTCTGGGTCTGGGTCTGGGTCTGGGTCTGGGTGCTGGGGCTATTGCTGGGGCAAGGGTTAGGTTAGGGTTCTGCGGGTTGTTTGTAAAACCACGCATGTGTAGTACAATCGAAAGCATCGCCACTAATGAAGGCAGTATTTTCTCACCATTGCGCTTGCTAATATTTTTTCCTGGCTAGAAGTGGCCTATTCTTTTACCTGGAGAAACAAGCTTTTGACAATTGTCAAATTTCACGAAATATTTCTTTTATGTTGTCACCCTCCTGAATTGTTTTACCTGGTGCTGATTTCGCCCATTACTTGTAACACTAATACTTTCATTTAAAAGGTGTTTTAGTTATCAAGTTTTACATGTCCAGTCTTTGTTTCAATTACATTCTTCAACCCTTTCAATTTATTGTTTTGTTGTATAGTATTTTTAGTCTGACGTTCGTGTGCAAGAATGTGTTTATTATATTATCAAATAATCAGCGATAATCCTATGCGGATTAATAATCGAATATTGTGTTTCATTATTACCAACATATAAGTACACACAAAACATAGATAAGCTATGTTTTTAATTAAATGTTGTGATGTTGCAACAAGCATACATCGCCCACACTTTGGTATGGAGTGCTATTAAAAAAGAGTAGTCTTTACTTAGCTTCTTTTTTCTATCCCAAACTACAAACTCTCAAATCACTATAAATTTAACCTAAGGGACATAACTTAAAATTATCACTAATTTGAAATTCGTTCATTTAAGTGCTGTGTAGTTTGTTTTTAAACAAATTAGATTGTCCAACACGTGACAGAATATTATACAAAAAATTCTCCGATTTTTTAGAACTCGTGTTTTTTTTTTGTAGTTGTGAAACGTAAAGTAAGTTAAGTTTCCCTTTCAAACCTGACGGTGTATGGGGCAAGTGAAGTAGAATTCACTTGTTTCTGTGACCTCGGCATATGAAGAGATTGTGTGGTCATCACTATGCCCAGCCGCCTTTACTCTCCCTAACGTGAGTTAGGTACCCATCAGAGTTGGGTGGACTCAGGGACGGTCTACTTGCTTGAACCCATAGTTGTGAAGCGTACATGAACCGAAAGCCAAGCGAACTGGCGATAAATTCGTCTTGGCAATTAACTTTGTGATGTGTGTTTCGACGGTTTAGTCATAGAGATACTACAGTTACTTAGAACTGTACATCTATGCGTCGCAAATACGATGAAAGAGAAAAAAACAATATTCATTTTAAAAATCTCAAGAGGAATTATGACAATGGCGTAGGCAGGCATTGGTCATGGGAGGTATTCAAACATTTGTCCATATGTATACATTCCTCTCTCTCTCTCTCTCTCTCTCTCTCTCTCTCTCTCTCTCTCTCTGTATATAATGGTATATGGGTCGATGGGAGGAGTTATAACCCCCCCCTTACCTACGCCTCTGAATTATGAAGTTTGCATGATGCCTGCACCAGCGCCATTAGAATGGCTGTCAACCAAACCCCTTTACAACTATTGTGCATTTTTTTAATATTGTGTCTCCCCTTCCCAATAATTTATTATTTCTACTGCATACAACATTTTTAACATTGTATTTTACAATTTTTCTTCGCACACATAATGGTGTCGCTTAGTGTACTCACACCTCACCTCACTTCCGCCCGTGTCACTATACTGGTTTGATGATCCAAAGTTTACTAGCCAGCATACGACCATTTATGCAGGTCTTACTTTTTTTCATAAGTGACAACTGTTTAATTAAAAAAAAACGTTAGTGCTTAGACTTATCTTGTAATCGTGCAAAACAAAATCGAGATTTTTTCAAATCTATGTTCCGAGTTGCCATCCCCCGTAGTGTTATATTAGAATTTTCGAAAAAGTTTAGGCGAGATCATTCCCAGTTTACTTCTAAAAGCGAAGAATTATTTATTGCATACATTCCACAGCCTGGGCCTAGCGCCAGGTGAGAATAGAAGAGTTTGACGATGGTCAAGAAAATGCTCCAAGCCAAAACAGAAACACACACAAGCACATACACAAAACATTCTTAGTCAAAAATGGATTTCCAACAGGCAATCAGTTGAAGCCTAATCAATAACGGGTGTAGGGAATGACCCCCACCCCTGTCAGTTACCCCCCCCCCCACACACACACACATACTGAAAAACCCTGCTTATATGAATGAAGATCTTTTTATTTTCTTATTTTCAATGCAACAAAAAATAACTTACCCTATTATTTTGTCCTTTCTTTTTGTTGTTGAAATATTTATAATACTATTTTTTTTCTTTAAAGTGGTCAAAAGCTATATGTGTCATACGTGTTTGCTATAGATGAAATCATATGCCTATCTTATAGTGTTTATCCACGAGACCGCGGTTAAAACTAAGTTATCTCAAAAAGATTCAGGTTCAAACTTCACGTTTCTTGTTGGCTGCTCTTACTTGTAGTCTGTGAGTAAAACTGAATCAAATAAAAAGTATATTTATCAGGATTCTTCAACTTTGTTCTTAATTCTATTGTTGAAAGGGATTCCCTCGAACACTATTAAGTTTTACGTGTCAACTTGTTAAGCTCAATACAGGCAGTTGACACTTGGAGTTTTCGGGGGGCTGACTCAAATTTTAGGGAGGGAGGGGTAGGGGGGGGGGTAAGGACAGAAACTGGTAAAAGTAGTAATTATATTTCAAAAACATGCCTGGAAGAAAATCTAATCGCAATATTTTAGAAAATATGCGATTTTTAATTTTAAATGATTTAATACAGATTTTAGCTATAAAAATAAGTTTCTCTCTACTTCGAATCCACCCTGCAGATGTACCCATTTTATATAGTCAGGCACATGAATACGATAAGAAAGAGGGGGTCTACAACACAACTCAGGCTTATTTAAAAACAACACAGTATTAAACATACAGACCAAAGTACGGATTAGTTTTTCTACACACTACTGCGAAACAGCGTGTACAGTTTTTTTTCTTTTCAGGTAAATGCTAAAGGTGACAATAATTATTTCAGTATCTGTTGTTTTTTTACCTACATAATATTTATGAATGTGACCATCTGATTGTGTAGTGAACATACATATTCAAGTGTAACACAGAATATTTCAAACACAGAAAGCTGTTTATAAATTTGTCAAACTTGGTTATCGAATCTAGGTTATTTCCAAACATCACATTGCAGAATGTGGTTTAGGAACGTGTATAAATTAAGCTATTGTGTGCGTCTTACAATGTAATCACATTTATTAAACGTTTATAGAAAAAACGTTTAGTAATGTATATGTGATTTAAAAAAAAATGTTTAAATAGGTTTGAAGATATTAAAATACTGTTTTGTTAGAAAGATGATAAATATAAGTAGGACAAAGAACCGGTGGTTCGGAAGGTGGGGATTAGATAATTCTGGTATTTACCGTTTTTGTCACGTCATCAGTAATCCATTATAATACATATTACAATATGTTTGTAATATATATATATATATATATATATATATATATATATATATATATATATATATAATATACATATTATATATATATATAGTTGACTCTAGATAATGTCTATTACAATTATTAATATCTATTTGACTCGAAATTTTTGTTTGTTATAATTTATCCGTCGCTTGAAGTATCTGCGTTTCTGCACATATTTCTTCTTTCCCTTTATAAATGCCCTAAGGTCCGAACTCGTACAATTTTGAAGTTAGCTTTCCATTTTGACCGCATTTCTGCCAATGAACTAGTGGTTAACATATGTTTTTAATTAATTTTAAAACAAAAATTAAAATTATTTTTTATAATATTTATATCTAGATAGAAGGCAAAGATAAGCGTTGTTTATTTTTGCATAAAGTCTAAATGGCAATCCCTGATGATTCAACATGGAAACTATTCATCCACGCTGCACTGGATGGATCTGTAAATGTAATAGAACAGTACATAAAGGCCGGGTTCTACGTTGATTCGCCAGTCGTTGGGGGACTAACGGCTCTAATGATAGCGTCTAATGAAGGTCACTTGGACGTCATTAACATGCTTATTACCTGCGGTGCTGATGTGGATGCAGTGACAGCTACCGGCGAAACTGCGCTAATCTTTGCTGTAAGGGGCGGTCAGGTCGAAGCTGTGCGGGTACTGCTTCAAGCTGGAGCTGATGTCAACGCGGCGATAAACACAGGGATTACGGCTCTCATGATAGCGGCATCGAAAAGCCATTTCAAGATCTTAGATATGTTAATACAACACGGTGCGTTGGTGAACTTATCTGATGAAAACAACAGCACCGCTCTACTTCATTTAGCCATCTCCGGAAATGTTGATTGTTTAAAGTTGTTAATTCAAGCTCAAGTGGATGTCAATCACACCAATACACAAGGTATGACGGCTCTGAACATTACTTTATACGGAGGACATTTGGATTTGATTCAGATTTTGATTTAAAGCGGAGCGTCTGTACACAGTGATGATTCTTTAAATTCTGAACTCGTGTTGACTGCGGCGCGCAAGGGGTATGCTGAAATTCTAGAACTTCTTCTACAAAACGGAGCTAATGTTGATTCTAGCACTGAAGGTGGTTGTTCAGCTTTAATAATGGCATCATGTCTAGGCTATGATAAAATAGTAGAAGTTCTTCTAAAGAACCGTGCTAATATAAAATTACAAAATTCTGATGGATGTACAGCATTGTTTATCGCCATTGAACAAGGTCACGTGGGTACAACTCACCTTCTGATAGAGCGAGGCGCCAGTGTGTTTCACTTAACCGCCAACAACGACACGACGTTAATGACAGCATGTCGGGCTGGTAAACTCGACATCGTGACACTTCTGCTGGACAAAAATTTTAACGTCAATTTGAGAAACAAGCAAGAGATGACTGCATTGCTTGTAGCTGCTTACGGTGGACACACAGATGTAATGGAAACTCTTTTGAAACATGGCGCCAACCCTAACTACAGCACTAGTTTCTTTGTATCTGCGTCCAGAATAGCCATAGGTAAAGGCGATACTAAAATGTTGAAAGTATTGATTGATGGTGGACTTAACATGAACGCGGTTGATAGCTTTGGGTGCAATATTTTGCATAGCTGCATATTACAGTTTTTGCACGAAACAACTTACTTTGAATTGGGTTTTCTACTTTTTAGCGAAGAAAAAGAATATGATGAAATTAAAAAACTTTTTGACAAATTGCTTAATTTACCGAACGCTAAGTCAAATTTGAAGTCTTCAGAATACACAAGCAAAGTCTACACCTTAGTCTCTACAATTGCTATTAAGCTCAAGAAACTAACAAAAAAATACCATAACGATACAAAAGTAAATATCATTGAACGCTGGATAAACAAATCAGATAATATGTACTTCTTGAACTTTAAAGAGGAGGCTCGCAAAGTACCAAAGAAAGATCCAAGCCTTGTTCAATTTTTAATTATTAACAATGCAAATGTTAATTTAATGGACAAATCAGGATTAACGCCCTTGATGATGACGTGTATGATAAACGACAGTGCCGTGGCTAAAGTTTTACTGAACAATAACGCAGATCCTAACCAAGTAACACACACTGGGTATACTCCGCTAGTTTTAGCTTCTTTGTTTGGCAACACTGAAACCATCCATCTGCTCATCTCCTACGGCGCTGAAGTCAATTTCATCCACAAGAAAATGCACGGGACTGCCCTATTTGCTGCTGCATTCTCAGGCGAAACCGACGCTGTTAATGTTTTGATTGGCTACGGCGCATGTGTCAACTTGTCGTCCACCAATAGACAAACGCCTCTCATTGTTGCTTCATCGAAAGGACATTTAGATATAGTAAATATTTTACTGCAGAACAATGCGAATATCAACGCTCAAGACAAAGAAGGTGCTAGTTCTCTAATAAAAGCGTGCGAGGCAGGTCATAGAACTATGGTAGAAAAACTTCTGGAAAGTGGTGCGAACGTCAACATTTGTAAAACTGGAAATGAAAGCGCGCTAATTACTGCCACACGGTGTGGAGACGCCGGTATTGTAAAGGCTCTCTTAGATCACGGCGCAGATATTCACTGTGTTACTGATAATGGGGAAAATTCTTTACTGATTGCCTTACAACGTGGAGATGTAGATTCTAGCAGTCTGCTCATAGAGCGTGGGGCTAAAATAGACACAGTATTATTGCATGCAATGTTCTGCTATCTACAATACGCTAGTCAAGAACTTACTGTTTTAGAAAATACGCATACAAAACTGGATGTTGAACCGTTTCGTCTACAAACTTCCGGTTTTACGACATTGCTTGCGGCAGTGATGTTACGTATTCCAGATTGTCATGAAATACTTAGCAAGAATAAAACAGATTCTGATCAATCAAGTTTTAAAAGTATTGAATGTGACGGAAACGTACTTTCAATACACGATGCAGATTGCATTTATGACGTAATCACTAGTTCGGATGTTGAGACGTTCTTGAAAGTGTTTGAGTTTCTGAACAAAATAATGAATGTTGCGACTGGTATAAACAAAGACGACGTGAAAGTCAAGCTGATTTTGACTTTTTCAGAGATGACAAAATCACTACTTGATCCTACCCCACCATCTGAAGGTACTGTAATTCTACTAATTTTTAAAGTCATTTAATGTTTATAAAACTTGCTGATTATTTCACTCAATGTTGTTAAAAATTTAGTAACTGGTTCATGTCTTTTTTAATACAACGGTATATTTTACAAGCAAAATTTATTTAATAATTTATTGTTACTAACACAATATATTCTGGAGCAATTTGATAGCATGTATATTTTCTAACTCTACATCAAAAACTGAATAATGAACGAGCAACTGCATTACACTCTATAAGGTAAATAACTTACACATTTTGATAATATATACATATGCCTAAACCTGCATGTATTTTGACATGTTTATTTAGCATTCTCTATTAACTCACTTCACGAGTTCTAACCCCCGGGCAATAGAGGCTCGATAGCTACGGACAGCAACTCATTTAGGAGAGAAAACTTCAAAATATAACAACCGATGCTAATACGGCATCGGTGACCAGAAATATGCGCAACTGAAAAAAGCGCAACAGAAAAAAAGCGCAAACAGAAAAAAGCGCAAACAGAAAAAAGCGCAAACAGAAAAAAGCGCACACAGAAAAAGCGCAAACAGAAAAATAGCGAAAACAGAAAAAAGCGCACACAGAAAAATTAAAATTCATTGACATATGAACCCAACAACACTGGGTGTTACCGGCTAATAGAAAATAGTTTCTAGATGAACTTCAGCGGCCACATGTTCGTGACCGAGGCTAACCACTTAAATGTAAACGTTCGGTTGTGGTCAGACATGGAGAGATTTAGCCCTAGACTCACAACACAAAACCGTGAGGTCCCAAAGACCCAAGAGTTAAGGGATTTATTTATATTATCTATTAATTTATCGACTAACTACAGCAATTGGTTAAAACTACTTGATTATTTTTGCGCCATTATTGATTGTTGTTATCAAGTCCATTATTGCATTGAAAGATAACTCATAATATTTTTTTTAATATACGAATTTCACACATTGAATTTTATTTATCAGAACAGGAGAGGATAATTACGAAAACACTGTTACTTCAGAACAGAGACAAACAGATCTACCAACATTTACATTGAAGATGTTTCAAGATTTTGTTTTGAGCTCAGATCGAGAGTAAGTTTACTTTTAAAAAAAAAATACGCAGCGACATGCAATACATTTTGTAGTTACAGTTTATTAAGGCTAGACTTGAGTTTGTAAGATAAACGATTTTCACCCTACACTTCCGCCACAAGACTTGTTATTAGTTGATACACTTGAAGTGGGGTCTGCGTGGTCGAGTCGGTAAATCTCATGATTGCAAAACCGAAAAGTCTTGAGTTCGAACCCTGAGCTGGGGACAGCCACTGTTCTATGAAATACAACCCATACAACTGCTGCCTTGTAGTTTGCTCTTGGTTGGACAAAGGCTATGGAAACAAATCCATAACAAGCTAACACTACTGGGACGGCGTGTACATAATCGACTACATCTGCCGTGAAGATCATTAGAATTTAGGAATTTAAAAAGGCGAGGGATCTCCCCTAAATGTTCTCCTATCTGATATATAAAGTTCAATTCTGTATGTGGCGGGCGGACGGACCCGTATTAACAAAGGAATATTACTCGACTTGATCGCGATAGTGTGATATTTTTAAAGTGCTCATCATCTAAATTAATGATTAAGACAATTAATATTGAACGTTTTATAAAACAAGTTTCATTTTCCAAACCTGAAGTGTTAATTGACGGCATGTTAAACAAAATTAAAGAAAATGTATCACCTTTCACAAAAATTCTAATTGTTTATAAAAATTACTACCTTTAGTCCTTTAGCACTAATCACTTTCCTTTATAAATTAGACAAAACACAATTACTTCCCTTTAAAAAAGAATTACACTGGGGAAAAAATACTTTTTATTTCTGTGTTTTGGTATTGAGAAAAAAACATAATTACATAATTAGCGTTGATTGATAAAGTGCAGTGTGGTAAGTAAAACACATATATTTTAAAAACTGCTTTTTATTTATTTTATACACTGGACGTAATGTTTACTAAATATTATTTGTCAGTAAGAACAGTTTAGAAGCTGCTCCTAAATGCCTTCTATCTTTCGGTTTTCGGATAAGCAAGCGGTATTATAGACATTCACTAAATTTAATCAGGCGAGTCCGCCGGCGCCCAAGCAGAGTGCGATTTGGCGCCCTTGACTATCCCGTGAGCGCCATGTCACATACAATCGTTTTAACGGGGCGATAGACTATGGATAAGAAGGGTAACTATAGTCCTTCGTTAAATTTTATTCCGACGTTCTCCGGCGCCCCGACAGGGTGTTATTTCACTCTTACGAACAGGTTTTTTTCATTTACCCCCTCCCGTAACCCCGCCCCTTCGTACAGAACGTCTGCAAGCCCTACTTTTAATGTTATATAAACGTCCTTTAACACGCGTCTTTTCATTTCGATAGTATGGCATTCAGATTGTTTTCGCTGTGGAGCGAAGTAGAAAATTATGTCACTATTTATGTTCGTTTTGTTGTCTAGTTTTTAACCGCTCTGTTGTGTGCCAAGGAAGACCTTGGGTCGAAACATCAATAGTACCTGTAATTGTCTTTAATGACTTGTAAACGGAACAATCTTTGGAAAAGAAGATTTGAATAAAATAAATAAAACAACTTTTATAATAAAAAGCTGAATATGTTTTCCCCTTATTTCTTTTTATTCTCTTCTATATCGCCTCCGACATGTAATTTACAGCGTCAGTTTGCCTTGTTGTTGTGTTCGCTTTGGTAATACGGTTTTAACCATCGTCTTGTGGTGAATGATAGAGATTTACAATATTAATACTTCTTATCGACTTGTACTTTCATTCCTTTAAGATGGTTTGCTTGTACATAATATAAAACGTCTAATTACAATTATATTTTAAACCTGAAAATGCAAATGTGTAATTAAATGGTGAATCAACGATCTGGAATTAGAAAAGTATTTTTTTTCTTTTTCGGTGGAGTAGAGCTGAAATAAATTTAGGGTTAAGCAAACGTGTAATCTAACAAATTATTCCCCTGGCAGTTACAACCCAAGTCACTGGTCAGCATAAAGGCTGCTTTTGTCATGTCAAATATGTCAGTCTCCTTGAACCGTTAATACATAGTCCGCCTCCCCTCTGCAATGTACCCTATAACTATCTCTAGTAAACTGTAATAGATGTTCCCCCGATTTTACTTGTGGAATTTTACACGTTTCAGTTACAAGGGACAAGTTGCTGATTCTGCACTGGTTATACATTAGTATATACATTAGGCCCTTTATTTAAAAAAATGTACAAAAGTAAATACTACTCCTACATATAGAGACTCGTATTGTTTATAAATATTCCACAAAGCAAGAACTGATCTAATTTAATTTATTTTTTTTATTTTACACCTATAACGCTGCAATAAATTCAGGTAAAAACAATACTTTACACAAATTAAAATTTAAAAATCGCTCATCAAAGAAAACTGTTTTATATAGAACTAAACCATTTCTCCCAAAGAAAACTATGCTTTACACAACTAAAACTACAAAATGCACACGAAATAGCATTGGACACCAATGTTTCTTTAATGCATTTCTTCGTGTGAGCTCGTCTCACATCGTCGTCCCCAATCCTCAATCCCCCGGGGGACGTCAAGCATTTCTTCATCCCTCCCGAGACGAAATAGAAAAACTATTACATTTAAATAGAAAACATACTTTAACCAATCTATAAATTGTAGTATCATCACCCCATCTCAAAAGTTTTATACCCCTCCCCCGCATCCTCCTTATGCAAACATAAACTGTAATCAATCTAATAATAATTTTATCATTACCCCATCTCGAAAGTTTCATAACCCCCATCTTCCATGTTCTTATTCAGAAGGAAACCTATAATTTCTAGACACAACCATACTATTTTTATTCCAATTAAAATGAGGTAAATGATTAGTGTGACGCAAAATAATATAACACGATCAGGACGTATTAACGTGTTTGCAATGTTTTACTGATCACAATCCTAGCAACAAAGCGGTAAAATAACTACAATGTATTCACTATTGATTTACCCTCGTAATTACATAGCATACTGGGATAGATTCATTTTTTCATCATATGATTAGTATGATCATAGAATTGAATAGCACATTGCAACACATGGCAAAAAACGGAAAGAAAATATATAATATGTAATCTTGCGGTAGACTTGCTATTATTATTTTCTAGAAGCTTCTAAATTCATTTTAGAAAATATATAGTATGTATGTTAATGTGGATACTTATAGTTTAGAAGGTTCTTTAAAAATTCGATAGCAAAGTATTTATTTAAACACTCCAAAACACAAACAAAATATATATGGACCAGGCTGCATCTATGTATACAACTTTCATTGCTTTAGAAATAATTATTTTACTGTAATTTTAGAAGCAAGTGTTACATTTGTTTAAATATAAAACAATAAAATCATAAATGGTAAATAATTTTTATTTCGAAAATTCTTTTTAAAATATTCATTTGTAAAAATGTGTACATAAAAAATTTGAAAATGCTTGACCGAAATCAAAGTTCTAGAACCGACGAGGATAAACAACCAGAACTGTATCTGCTCGACGTATCCCAAGATGTTTATGAACCAGTGATAACTGTTATCAACTGTTTCTTCATTCACATCATATGTGTATTCGGCATTATTGAAAACATCTTCACCATTATCATCCTAGTCATTAACGGCTTTAAATTATCAACGAATGTCGTGTTAACAGCTCTCTCCGTTTCTGATTTATTTTACTCTATCACAGCAAGTGTCTACAGGCTTCCGTTTATAATCCGACTATTCGACACTGATATGGGAGACAACTTTGAAGCGTATTATCGAGTTTATATCTATATATGGAACCAGTATGCATCTACCATCAGTATAGATCTGGTTGCTGTGATTGCAGTGGAAAGGATGATAGCTGTATGGTTACCTTTAAGAGTTTCACAAGTTATATCCCCTTGTCGTATGTTTTGTGTTGTGCTTATTATATTCATCGTAGTAGCGCATCTATACGTCCCTTATACTTTATACATAGATTTAATTCAATTTACATCAAGTCAGACTAACAACACCATCTTTGGCTACGGACCTAGCCAGTTTTACTTCAACAATTATCACTTCCTTGAAGTATACCGTAAACACGTTTTACTAAACACAAACGCAACAATCCCTACATTTATAATAATAACAAGTTCAATTTTGATAATTTTAAAAGTCAAAATATCAACCAAAACATTTAAAACAATGTCTTCATCATCAGCTTCAGTGAAAAGAGTTAAAGATTTACATTCAGTAAAAGTAACATTGTCCTTATGTTTCTGCCTCGTAGTGTTTGTTTTAGTTCCATCCAACAGTGTAGATATTTATCTAGCGTACTCTGCCAACTTGATCTACACTCTCAAGTTCCAAACATTGTTGTACAGCTCCCTACAAGTCATAACCCAATTGAATGCTTCAGTAAACTTTATTATCTATGTTTGTTTCAACTCAAAATTTTCTAAAACCTACAAGAAGCTATTCACATATACAGATATAGACAAAAAACTATAATACATTTGTATTTGAAGATAGAAACCATTTATAATGTTTATCTAAAATATACTCTTAGGTAGTTAAGTCTTTTGTCTAATAAGATAACAGGGTAACAATACTTTAATGAAATTAAACCTGCATAGTGGGTCAAACCCCTTATGGTCAAACCCCCTATGATCAAAGCACCTGTGGTCAAAGCACCTAGGACCATATTTTTAACAATATATATGATATCAACAAAGCAGTGATAATCAGATTCAGAATAAAGCTGCACAAATTAAAGCATTGTTTCCCTTGTAATCGCACTGTGTACATGATTGCCGTGTCAATTAACATGTGTACTCACTCCACATCACCTTTCATTGCAGCAATCTTCAAGACGATTGTATTCAAATTATTTGAATGATTGATTGCTGTTATTAAAATTAAGAAATTCAAAAATTACAATTGCTTATCGATCGTAGATATATAATATTATTGTTGTGTAGATCTGAACGATAAGTCTGTGCCTAAAATTAAATAAGCAGTTAAATATGTGTGTTTGTGTTGTTCTGTGTTGCTATCATTATATTCTGTTAACTCATTTTTATTTGAAGCATTATTATTAGCCCCTGACCACTATTAATAAACACACAGCTTTATTGTGATTGAGATTAACAGCAAGTATAAGGATAGTATTGCCGTAAAGATCCTTAACATCTACATTAATACACAAATGAATGTAAAGCTCAAATACAATCAAATACATTCTACTTCCATCCAGCATATGTAATGTAGTGCAATTAATGCTTAATACATTAATATTCTAATTTTAGATTAAACTTGTTAACATTGCATTCATGGGGCATTACAAAAAAAAATATTCAAATAAAATAGATATGTATATTTAAAAAAAATTCAAATTAAATTACAATTGTATATCTTTCTATTTAAAAGTTTTGAGTTTTTGCTATATACATTATTTATCCCCAAATTTCTAATTTGAGTGGCAAAAAGATTTCAACATCTTTTGGGTTTAAGAAACGAAAAATAGGACAAGAGATGCTCTTCGTGTCACAAAATATTATGCCAGAGATTTATGTATCCTAAATGTGGGGTGGGGTGGATGACATTGATTAATGTAACATATGGTATACTATGAAGAAGCTAATTTGTAACATACAAACGATTTAATTCTAGATAGTTCTCAAACGGGTTAATATTTAATATTCTTTTGTTGTATTTAGCAAAACGCTTTTGGATGTTTTAATAGTTTTTCTTACAATAATATTAGCAGACAATATCAGTAAACGTTTCAATGATCAAGTTAACGAATTCTATTGTTTTTAAAGATCCTTTGTTAGTGTTGTTGCAACAATAATATCCGTTTTAGGGATTGAAAACAACCATTTTTAGACAACTCATTTCCGAATCATGTAAACACATGAAATGTTATTGTTTTTTATTATGGAAACTGAAAGCTGTTATTAAGTTGGCCTTTTTTATTTTTTTTATTATTTGATAGGCTCATATACATTAAATAGTAAAACTGTTTTATAAATGGCTGAACTCGGTGCTAGAATTCGTAATTATTCAAACACGGACGGAGCATCTCCAGATGGTTAAAACTGTATTACTAAAGTGAACACGGCAACAAGACAAACTGACACAGTTAATTACAAGTTGGAAGCGAAAAAACAATAAAAAGATATGAGAAAAAAATAATTTCAGTGCATTTAAAGCTAGTTATTATAACATGTGTTACATTTATTTTATTCAAATCTTCTTTTCAAAAGATTGCGTCGTTCACATATTACTATGTTGAATTGTACAACCATCTGAAGCGTAGTACACGACTGAGTCAATGTTCATCTTGCCAGTACTAACATCACGAAGCAAATTGATCTTTTGTATATCCACTTTTTCCGCTTGACAGATTCTAGCCTCCTGGACTTCTTTTATAATTACGCTGATGTTACATTTCCTGATCAAATAAAGTAAATAAATAAATATGGTAGCTGTAGTGAGTTTTATGCTAATAGTAATAAAACGGATAGTGTTATTATTATAAAATAAATTACAGGTACTATGGATGTTTCGACCCATGGTCTTCCTCAGCACACAACAGTGTGGTTTAAAACTAGCGACATACTTTTCGACTTCGCCCACAGTGAAAACAATCTAAATGCCATAATATCCAAATGAAAAGACGTGTGTAAAAGGAAGTTTGGACAATATTAGAAGTGGGGCTTGTGGGCGTGTTCTACGAAGAAGAGGGGTTACTGGAGGGGATAAATGAAGAAAGAAACATGTTCGTGAGCGCACAATAACACCCTGTCGTGGCGTCGGAAGAGGTTGGGATAAAATTTAACGAAGGACTATAGTTACCCTTCTTATCCATAGTCTATCGCTCCGTTAAAACGAACGTAGGTGACATAGAGCTCACTTGAAGGCCAGGGGCGCAAAAAAGCACCTTGTCGGGGCGCCTTGGATTCGATTTAGTGAACGACTATAGTAACCCTTTTTACCTACATCTTATCGCAATCGTTAAAACGAAAGTATGCACCAGAGCGCCCACGGGATAGTCAAGGGCGCCAAATTGCACCTGATTAAATTTAGCTTATCCGCTAACTGAAATATAGAAGTAAACTTAGAGATCATTTAGGAGCGGCTTCTAAACTGTTATTGATTACAAATAATATTTTTAAACAGTATGTTCAGTGTTTATAATAAATAAAAAGCAGTATGTAAAATATCTGTGTTTTACCTACCACCCTGCATTTTATCAATCCACGCTCATTATGTAATTATGTTTTCTCGACACCAAAACATCGTAATAAAAAGTATTATTCTCCCCGGTGTAATTTTTTTTAAGGAAAGTAATTGTGTTTTGGCTAATTTATCAAGGAAAATGATTAGTGCTAAAGGACGAAAGGTAGTAAATTTCAGAAACTATTTAGAATTTTTGTGAAGGGTGATACATTTTCTTTAATTTTGTTTAATGCACATGCCGTAAATTAACACCTCAAGTTTGGAAAATGAAACTTGTTTTATAAAACGATTAATAGTAATTGTCTTAATCTGTAATTTAGATGATGAGCACTTTAAAAATATCACAAGTCAAGTTATATTCCTATATTACCACGGGTCCGTCCGCAGCCACATACAGAATTGAACTTTATATAATAGATCGGAGAAAATTTAGGGGAGATCCCTTCCCTTTTTGAATTCTTAAAACTCTTTTCAAAGAATTATTTGCTTCTATAAAACGTAGTTAATGATTGATTGTAAAAAAAAGTGTTAATTCGATATTTTGGTGTTTAAAAACAAAGTGAATAAAGTTTTCGTTTTAAGGCCTAATAATCTTCAGGGCAGATAAAGTCGATTTCATCCACGACAGGAACGAGGCAGCGATTTTTGGAGTTGTCTCTCCTAGAACAGCTAAGGGCTACAACGCGGAACGTTTCGGTTCAGCAACCATGAGCTTTACCTACTTGACCATGCCGAATCCTTGTTAAGTGTATCAACTAGTTACAAGTGTTAGTGGCGGAGGTGTAAGGTGAAAATCGTTCGTCTTCCAAACTTGAGGCCAGCCTTGATAGTTTTTATCTACAAAATGCATTACATGTCACTGCGTATTTTTTAAAAAGTGAACTTACTCTCGACCTAAGCTCAAAACAATATCTTGAAACATCTTCAATGTAACTGTTGGTAGATCTGTGTTTTCAGGATTATCCTCTCCTGATCTGATAATTAAAATTCAATGTTCTCACAATGTACATTTTTAAAAAATGTAGTATGAATTATCATTCAATGCTATAATAGACATGGTAAAAGCAATCAATAATGACTGACTGTGTCAAACAATTAAATAGTTTAAACAATAACGGCAATTAGTCGATAAATTAATAGATAAAATACATAAATCCCTTAACCCTTGGATCTTTGGGACCTCATGGATTTGTGTTGTGTGTCTAGGGCTAAATCTCTCCATGTCTGACCACAACCGAAAGTTTACATTTAAGTGGTTAGCCTCGGTCACGAACATGTGGCCGCTGAAGTTCATCTAGAAACTATTTTGCATTAGCCGGTGACACCCAGTGTTGCCGTGGGTTCATATGTCAATGAATTTTAATTTTTCTGTGTGCGCTTTTTTCTGTGTGCGCTTTTTTCTGTTTGCGCTTTTTTCTGTGTGCGCTTTTTTCTGTTTGCGCTTTTTTTGTTTGCGCTTTTTTTCTGTTGCCCATCTTTCTGGTCACCGATGCCGTATTAGCATCAGTTGTTATATTTTGAAGTTTTCTCTCCTGGATGAGATGCTGTCCCTGGTTAGCAAGTCTCTATTGCCCGGTGGCTAGAACTGGTGAAGTTAGTCGATAGAGAATGCTAAATAAACATGTCAAAATACATGCAGGTTATGGCATATGTATATATAATCAAAATGTGTAAGTTCTTTACCTTAAAGAGTTTAATGCAGTTGCTCGTTCATTATTCAGTTCTTGATCTAGAGTTATAAAATATACATGCTATCAAATTGCTCAAGAATATATTGTGTTAATAACTATAAATTAATAATACATTTTGTTTGTAAAATAAAACGGTGTATTAATAAAGACATAAAACGGTTACTAAATTTTTAACAACATTGAGTAAAATAATCAGCAAGTTTTATGAACATTATATGACTTTAAAAATTAGCAGAATTACAGTACCTTCAGATGGTGGGGTAGGATCAAGTAGTGATTTTGCCGTCTCTGAAAAAGTCAAAATCAGCTTGACTTTCACGTCGTCTTTGTTTATACCAGTCGCAACATTCATTATTTTGTTCAGAAACGCAAACACTTTCAAGAACGTCTCAACATCCGAACTAGTGATTACGTCATTAATGCATCCTGCATCGTGTATTGAAAGTATGTTACCGTCACATTCAGAAGCTTTCATATTTGATTGATCAGAATCTGTTGTATTCTTGCTAAGTATTTCATGACAATCTGGAATACGTAACATCACTGCCGCAAGCAATGTCGTAAAACCGGAAGTTTGTAGACGAAAGGGTTCAACATCCAGTTTTGTATGCGTATTTTCTAAAACAGTAAGCTCTTGACTAGCGTATTGTAGATAGCAGAACATTGCATGCAATAATACTGTGTCTATTTTAGCCCCACGCTCTATGAGCAGACTGCTAGAATCTACATCTCCACGTTGTAAGGCTATCAGTAACGAATTTTCCCCATTATCCGTAACACAGTGAATATCCGCGCCGTGATCTAAGAGAGCCTTTACAATACCGGCGTCTCCACACCGTGTGGCAGTAATTAGCGCGCTTTCATTTCCAGTTTTACGAATGTTGACATTTGCACCACTTTCCAGAAGTTTTTCTACTATAGTTCTATGACCTGCCTCGCACGCTTTAATTAAAGAACTAGCACCTTCTTTGTCTTGAGCGTTGATATTTGCATTGTTCTGCAGTAAAATATTTACTATATCTAAATGTCCTTTTGATGAAGCCACAAAGAGAGGCGTTTGTCTATTGGTGGACGACAAGTTGACGCATGCGCCGTAGCCAATCAAAACGGTAACAGCTTCGGATTCGCCTGAGAATGCAGCAGCAAATAGGGCAGTCCCGTGCATTTTCTTGTGGATGAAATTGACTTCAGCGCCGTAGGAGATGAGCAGATGGATGGTTTCAGTGTTGCCAAACAAAGAAGCTAAAACTAGCGGAGTATAACCAGTGTGTGTTACTTGGTTAGGATCAGCGTTATGGTTCAGTAAAACTTCAGCCACGGCACTGTCGTTTATCATACACGTCATCATCAAGGGCGTTAATCCTGATTTGTCAATTAAATTAACATTCACATTGTTAATAATTAAAAATTGAACAAAGCTCGGATCTTTCTTTGGTACCTTGCGAGCCTCCTCTTTAAAATATAAGAAGTACATATTATCTGATTTGTTTATCCACTGATCAATGATATTTACTTTTGCATCGTTATGGTATTTTTGTGATAGTTTCTTGAGCTTAATAGCAATTGTAGAGACTAAGGTGTAGACTTTGCCTGTGTATTCTGAAGACTTTAAATTTGACTTATCGTTCGGTAAATTAAGCAGTTCGTCAAGAAGTTTTTTAATTTCAACACATTCTTTTTCTTCGCTAAAAAGTAGAAAAACCAATTCAAAGTATGTTGTTTCGTGCAAAGACTGTAATATGCAGCTATGTAAAATATTGCACCCTAAGCTGTCAACCGCGTTCATGTTAAGTCCACCATCAATCAATACTTTCAACATTTTAGCATCTCCTTTACCTATGGCTATTCTGGACGCAGTTGTAAGGAAACTAGTGCTATAGTTAGGGTTGGCGCCATGTTTCAAAAGAGCTTCCATCACATCTGTGTGTCCACAGTAAGCAGCTACAAGCAATGCAGTCATCTCTTGCTTGTTTCTCAAATTGACGTTGACATTTTTGTCCAGCAGAAGTTTCACGATGTCAAGTTTACCAGCACGACACGCTGACATTAACGTCGTGTCATTGTTCATTGTTGTATGAAATACACTGGCGCCTCGCTCTATCAGAAGGCGTGTTGTACCCACGTGACCTTGCTCTATGGCGAAAAACAATGCTGTACATCCATCAGAATTTTGTAATTTTATATTAGCGTGGTTCTTTAGAAGAACGTGTACTATTTTATCATAGCCTACACATGATGCCATCATTAAAGCTGAACAACCACCTTCAGTGCTAGAATCAACATTAGCTCCGTTTTGTAGAAGAAGTTCTAGAATTTCAGCATACCCCTTGCACGCTGCAGTCAATACGAGTTCAGAATTTAAAGAATCATCGCTGTGTACAGAGGCTCCATTTTTAATCAAAATCTGAATAAAATCCAAATGTCCTCTATATAAATGAATGTTTAAAGCCGTCGAACAGTGTGTATTGGTGTGATTGACATCTGCATGAGCTTGAACTAACAACTTTAAACAATCAACATTTCCGGAGAAGGCTAAATGAAGTAGAGCGGTGCTGTTGTTTTCATCAGATAAGTTCACCAACGCACCGTGTTGTATTAACAGATCTAATATCTTGAAATGGCTTTTCAATGCCGCTATCATGAGAGCCGTAATCCCCGTGTTTATCGCCACGTTGACATCAGCTCCAGCTTCAAGCAGTACCCGCACAGCTTCGACCTGATCGGCCCTTACAGCAAAGATCAGGGCAGTTTCGCCGGTAGCTGTCATTGCATCCACATCAGAACCGTAGGTAATCAGCATGTTAATGACGTCCAAGTGACCTTCATTAGAAGCTAGCATTAGAGCCGTTAGTCCCCCAACGGCTGGCAAATCAACGTAGAACCCGGCCTTTATGTACTGTTCTATTACATTAACAGATCCATCCAGTGCAGCGTGGATGAATAATTTCCATGTTGAATCATCTGGGATAGCCATTTAGACTTTATGCAAAAATAAACAACGCTTATCTCTGCCTTCTTCCTAGGACTGAAAGTGGATAAAACATATTATTGAAGTTAGTTATAATTATTTTTAAAAGGTAATTAAAAACAAATATTAACCACTAGTTCAGTGGCAGCTATGCGGACAAAATGGAAAACTAACTTCAAATGTTCGAGTTCGGAAGTTAGGGCATTTATAAAGGGAGAGGAGAGAAGATATATGTGCAGAAATGTAGATACTTCAAGCGACGGATAAATTATAACAAACAAAAATTTCGAGTCAAATAGATATTAATAATTGTAATAGACATTATCTAAAGTCAACTATATATATAAATATATATATATATATATATATATATATATATATATATATATATATATATATATATATATATATATATATATTACAAACATATTGTCATATGTATTATAATGGATTACTGATTACGTGACTAAAACGGTAAATGCCAGAATTATCTAACCCCCACCTTCCAAACCGACGGTTCTTTGTCCTACTTATATTTATCATCTTTCTAAACAAAACAGTATTTTAATATCTTCAAATCTCTTTAAACATTTTTTTAATTCACATATACATTACTAAACGTATTTTCTAAAAAAAAAAAAAGGTTTTAATGACGGTGATTACATTGTAAGGCGCACACAATAGCTTAATTTATAAACGTTCCTAAACCACATTCTGCAATGTGATGTTTGGAAATAATCTAGATTCGATAACCAAGTATGACAAACTTATAAACAGCTTTCCATGTTTGAAATATACTGTGTTACACATGAATACGTATGTTCACTTTACAATCCGATGGTCACATTCATAAATATTATGTAGGTAAAACAACAACAGATAATGAAATAGTTCTTCTCACCTTTAGCCTATACCTGAGAGAAAAAAAGGTACACAGTGATTCTCAGTAGTGTGTATAAGAACTAATCCGTACTTTGGTCTGTATGTTTAATGCTGTGCTGTTTTTAGATAAGCCTGAGTTGTGTCGTAGACCCCCCTCTTTCTTAAGGTATTCCTGTGCCTGACTTTATAAAATGGGTACATCTGCAGGGTGGATTCGAAGTAGAGAGAAACTTACTTTTATAGCAAAAATCTGTATTAAAGCATTTAAACACTAAAATCACATATTTTCTAAAATATTGCGACCAGAGTTTCTTCCAGGCATCTCTTTCTAAATACAATAACTACTTTTACCAGTTTCTGCCCCACCTAGTCAGCATAAAGGATACTATTGTCATGTCAAATCTGCCAGTCTCTTTGAACCGTTAATATATAGTCCCCCCCCCTCCCCTGTAATGTATCCTATAACTATCTCTAGTAAACTGTTATAGATGTTCCCCCAATTTTACATGTGGAATTTTACACCCTAGAGTTACAAAGGACAAGTTGCTGACTCTGCACTGGTTAATATTTGTCATATTACACAATTGGTTTCTAGTACAGTATATAATGTAGGCTCTATATCCAAAAATGTACAAAAGTAAATACTAGGTCTACATATTGAGACTCGTATTGTTTATAAATATTCCACAAAGCAAGTACCCATCGAATTTTTTTTAACGTCTATAACACTGATATACATTCAAGTAAAAACATTTTAGACAAAATAAAATTTTAAAATTGCTCATAAATGAAAACTGTTTTACATAGAACTAAAACATTTATCCAAAAGAAATCTGCATTTTACGCAAATAAAATTTCCAAAATGCACATGAAAACAGCATAAACACCAGTATTTCTTTCAGGCATTACTTCGTGTGAGCTCGTCTCCCGTCGTCGTCCCCAATCCTCAATCCCCATGGGGAAGTCAAGCATTTCTTCATCCCTCCCGAAACAGAAAAAGTATTAATTTTAGATAGAAAATATACTTTAACCAATCTATAATTGTCATATCTTCACCCCATCTCAAAAGTTTCATATCCCCCCTCCCCCACATCCTCCTTATGCAAACATAAAATGTAATCAATCTTATAATTGTTTTATCATTACCCCAACTCGGAAGTTTTATAAGCCCCATTTCCCATCTTCTTATTCAGAAGGAAACCTATAATTTTTAGACGCAGCCATACTATTTTTATTCCAATTAAATGAGGTAAATGATTAGTGTGACGCAAAATAATATAACACGATTAGGACGTATTAACGTGTTTGAAATGCTTTACTGATCACAATCCTAGCAACAAAGCGGTAAAATAATTACAATGTATTCACTATTGATTTACCCTCGTAATTACATAGCATTCTGGGATAGATTCATTTTTTCATCATATGATTAGTATGATCATAAAATTGAATAGCACATTGCAACACATGGCAAAAACGGAAAGATAATATAAAATATGTAATCTTGTGGTAGACTTGCTATTATTGTTTTCTAGAAGCTTCTAAATTCTTTGTAGAAAATATATAGCATGTATGTTAATGTGGATACTTATAGTTTAGAAGGTTCTTTAAAATTTCGATAGCAAAGTATTTATTTAAACACTCCAAAGCACAAATAAAATATATATGGACCAGACTGCATCTATTTATAAAACTTTCATTGCTTTAGAAATAATTATCTTACTGTAATTTTAGAAGCAAGTGTTACATTTGTTTAAATATGAAACACTAAAATCATAAATGGTAAACTTTTTTTTATTTCAAAAATTCTTTTTAAAATATTCATTTGTATAAATTTGTACATAAAAAAATTTGAAAATGCTTGACAGAAATCAAAGTTCGAGAACCGACGATGATAAACAATCAGAACTGTATCTGCTCGACGTTTCCCAAGATGTTTATGAACCAGTGATTACTTTTATCAACTGTTTCTTAATTCACATCATATGTGTATTCGGCATTATTGGAAACATCTTCACCATTATCATCCTAGTCATTAACGGCTTTAAATTGTCGTCGAATGTCGTGTTAACAGCTCTCTCCGTTTCTGATTTATTTTACTCTATCACAGCAAGTGTCTACAGGCTTCCATTTATAATCCGACTATTCGACACTGATATGGGAGACAACTTTGAAGCGTATTATCGAGTTTATATCTATATATGGAACCAGTATGCATCTACAATCAGCATAGATCTGGTTGCTGTAATTGCAGTGGAAAGTATGATAGCTGTATGGTTTCCTTTAAGAGTTTCACAAGTTATATCACCTTGTCTTATGTTTTGTGTTGTGCTTATTATATTCATCATTGTAGCGCCATTATACGTCCCTTATACTTTATAAATAGATTTAATTCAATTTACATCAACTCAGACTAACAACACGATCTTCGGCTAAACACAAACGCAACAATCCCTACATTTATAATAATAATAAGTTCAATTTTGATAATTTTAAAAGTCAAAATATCAACCAAAACATTTAAAACACTGTCTTCATCATCATCAGCTTCAGTGAAAAGAGTTAAAGATTTACATTCAGTAAAAGTAACATTGTCCTTAAGTTTATGCCTCGTAGTGTTTGTTTTAGTCCCATCCAACAGTGTAGATATTTATCTAGTGTACTCTGTCAACTTGATCTACACTCCCAAGTTCCAAACATTGCTATACAGCTCACTACAAGTCATAAGTCAATTGAATGCTTCAGTAAACTTTATTATCTATGTTTGTTTCAACTCAAAATTTTCTAAAACCTACAAAAAGCTTTTCGCGTATGAAGATATAATAAAAAAATGTAAAGATTCTAAATATAAAAATAGACGACAAATATAACGTTTTAACCCTTTATTTACGAAATTAGGTTCTGAACGAAATTTTTTCTTAAACAATGTGTTATCATATTGCTTTTGGCACATTTAAAGCATTATATCGAAGGAAATTTCGTTTCAAACATTTTTAATATTGGTACTTATAAGTATCGTCAGGAATGTAGGACATTTTTTCCAAAAAATTTCTTTTTACAAAACAGGAACAAACGAAACAATTTATTAACTAATAACATGGCAATCATTATAACATACATTTTTTGTAATTTTCACACATAAATACAGCACATAAATGCAAGTTATTGTAGGCAAGACAGTTTATTGAAGTAAATATAACGTAAATTTAAATTTAAAAATTAATTTCAAATTAAATCTTACAACTAGAACTAGGCTTTGGTATACAAATGAAGTATACTAAACATAGTAAACGATCTTGCAACTGCTACCTCTATTCTTGTTATTCTTTTACTACTAGAAATTAACATGCAATTACAATATTTCTTAGGTAAACCAAATGCTAACTTTCTTTTAGATTTGTAAATATCAGTTTTTGAATACATTTTGATAATTAATTATCAAAATATTATGTATGTCACTCCACATCGAAAATCTGCCATTTTCTAAAAATCCTTAAAAAATGACCGTGTGCCCCGACGGTACTTATAAGTCCACTTAAAAACATCGATCTAATACAAAGACAATTTGATTAAAATTGTATAACTAGAAGTTAAACACATTAACCTGACTATTGAAGGTGCCAATAAAAAGTATTTGGGGTTGAAAACTTGGAAAATAAGGTAAAACAATGGGAAATTAGCAACGTGTGTGAGAACTGTAAAGAAAAATTGTGGACTACCGATACAGCAAGACATTGAAAATGGCGCCACACAAAATTTTTTTTTAAAAACATTGGTACCTCCAACTACCGGCGACTTAGGGGAGATAATACTATTAATTACATCAATAATTTTTAATATTCGTATTAAATTAAAAAATAATACAGGCACTTAATTAAAGTGGTACTTATAAGTACCGTCAGTAGATAAAATAGGATATATGCAATACGCAAGACCCATTAATTTAATATTTTATATACTTTTCTCGAAACATTTTTTAATAAATGTTACTTCATTTATGAACGTATTATTACAGAATAAACTCTTCATAACATAATGTTATTATTATAGCTAATCAAAACATAAAGTTTTATTTTTATTTATTTTCACTTAATTTATCGTTACTCAATAAAATATCATGTTTGCCTAGAGATAATAAAATCAATGTCGTAAAATGCAATGCTTATAAGGGATGTACACATAAATGATGTGAATATCCCCTTGACAAACAAGACTCATCATATGTAATGTTTTATCTAATACATTCAGTTATGAATTAAACATTGCTTCTTTAAATGACTTGTTATAATTTTTTTCTCTACAAGTTCTATAATTAAAATGAATACAAAAATAAAATTATTGATCTATCGCGTAGCCTTGCAGTGGAGCGCTAGATTGCTAACCCGAAAGTCTCGAGTTCGAATCGGGATTCAAGCCAGTAGACCGCCCCTGAGTAAATTCATCTCTCGTTTGTGTCTAACTCACGTTAGAGAAAGTAAAGGCGGCTGGGCATACTGCTGACCTCACTACCGATTCATATGCCGAGGTCACAGAAACAGATTAACTCTACTTCACTTGACCCATGGACAATCTTGTTTGAAAAAAGAACTTTAGTATAGTTACAGCGCAGAATTATTCGACCTTGTTATGCAACTGTTTGTTTTCATTTTTCGTATAACTATATATGTCTATTTATCAGAGGCGTAGCGACCCTTCCCGGCGCCCGGGGTCATACTTTCAATTTGGCGCCCCCTTGGGAGCAAATTTTCGATTTGCACCCCCCCCCCCCCTCGAACTTTTCATTTGCACCCCCCTCAAATTTTCGATTTGCACCCCCCCCCCCCTCGAACTTTTCATTTGCACCCCCCCTCAAACTTTCGATTTGCACCCCCCCCTCGAACTTTTCATCTGCACCCCCCCCCTCAAACTTTCAACTTGGCGCCCCCCCTAAGGTCGGCGCCCGGGGACATATGTCCCCCCCGCCCCCCCCCCCCCTCGCTACGCTACTGCTATTTATATAGATACATGCAGATGATTATTTATATACTAATACGTATTGGCATCACTAGGCCGAAATTCTTCCGGTGTGGTAGGTCAGGGTGTTACCCTCAACCAGTGTAGGAAAGCTGTAAACTATTTGGCGTTACATCCCTATCTCTGATGGTATTAACTTTTGTGTATCTAATAACAAAATAAAATAAATTACAATAACAAATGATAACCAGATTCACTTTATGTCTCCTCAGTGGTGTGTTGTACAACTATGGTGCTTTTGTTCGTTGCAACATTTTCAGCCTGCTCCACGTGAAGTTTCTCAACTTGATCGACGATCAGTGAACCAACATTTTCTATGTGTAGCGTGTTGATGTTGAAAATAATACTTTCGTTGTAAAACTTCTTGATGTTTTCGTCATCGGAATGGCTGGAAATAAAAACAAATATAAATTGTAAGATATATTAAACTAGGGATAACAAACGTCTGAAGTCTCTAACTCGTGTAGGCTTTCTTTAAAAGCCTACATTTATACTACAATTAAAACAGGTGGGCTTGATACTAATCGGAATTAATTGTTTGTTTACTTACCTAGGTAACGAAAACAGCAATTGCACCAGATTGTTTCTTATTTGAAAAATATTTTCTTCGTCTGCTTTTGATCTAGATTCTATATCTTCCACACTGTTTTAAAAAGATAAAATTCCACACTTTTATAAAGATAAATAATACACACTTAATATTTAACCTCCATTTAAAACATTTTATCCTTGTTTAAATTCCCCAAATATCTAATAAACGGGATAGTGTAATAGGTTTTAAAATACTTTCTCAATTCATTTTTTTTTAAAGGATACACAACCAGGTTTGATTTATCAAAATTTAAAGAAATCAAATACTGTTTGGATAAATACTGGACCTTAAAATTGAAATATTTGGCTGTGTTATGACTTGAGTAAGATTTTCATCAGCACCTTGTTGCATATTTCTCTCTGAAGTTAATTATTTTTAAAAAATATTAGAGAAATAATTGTGCTGTAAATGCGTACATTTTACTATAGTTCATTCACATTTTCTTTAATTGATATTTTTTTTCAAAACCTTAAAAATATAAATAAAACGTGTTTATATTTTCATGAAAACTATTCATAAAATTAAATTTTCTCAATACAAAAGAATACATACTTAAGGTAAATATAGAAGTGATATATTTAAGATTCTAACCTTTAAAATGTTTGTTGAATTCCACAAGTTTTAAAATCATTCGTGTACATACATTTATTTCCGACTCGACTTTACAATCTTCGAGTGCTCCCAAAATCTTGATAAAGTTCAAAAATGTATCCATCTGACCTGAAGTTATTTTCTTTACATCACAATCTGTCGCTTTATATGAGTCCATCTCAGTGTCATCTTGAACGCTGTTATTAGTAATGTCTGTGTTATGTTTGCTTTGAGCATGAGAGTATAGCATCTCAATGCAAACAGAATCGTCTAACAGCACTGAAACAACCAACATCGTAAAACCTAGACTCTGCATTTGAGTTTGATCGATTCTAGAATCATCAAATATTTCAGAATTTAGGACAGAGTTATTAAATAAATATTTGACATTCTCTGTTAGAAAAGAGTCTATCCTTAAACCGTTGTCCACTAAAATAGTACAAATCTCAGCATTGGCTTTCAATAAAGCAGTAACTAAAACATTGTAACCTTCTTTTGTTTGAATATTAATATCTGCTCCACGTTTCAGAAATGTCTTAACCGCATCAGCATGTCCTTTCATCACTGCGATGCTCAGTACACTCTCATTATCAGAATTGCAAATATTTACATCAGCATTATTATATAACAGTGCATCTACAATTTCCATGTTATTACCTTTCAAGGCCATCAAAATAGCAGTTTCCCCATGTGTATCTTGTACATTGACCTTCGATTTTTTCTGTATTAGTTTATTGACTATATCCAGGTGTCCTTTAGCCGAAGCCGCCATAAGCGGCGTCCGCCCATGGTCTGACGCCATATTTACATCAGCGCCGTAGCCTAAAAGAACGCATACGACTCCTAACTCCCCGGACATTGAAGCGACAAACAAAGCAGTCCCGTAGAGTTGGGCGTGGTTAAAGTTAACATTAGCACCGTATTGCACGAGTAATTCAACTGTACTAGAATGACCGTACAAGCTGGCGTAGGCTAAAGGTGTAAACCCAGAATATGTTAATTTGTTGGGGTCAGCTCTATATTTGAGTAAAATCTCCACTGTTGTGTTGTCCCCAAAAATACATGGAAATGACAAGGAACATAACCCAACTTTATCAACTGTATTAACACTGGAACCATTAAGTAATAGAAAAGTAAGAAATAGAGGGTTAATCTTTGGAACTTCAGTGATGTCTTGTTTCAAGTTTTTTAAAAAACGTCATATCAACTATTCTCCAATACCTTTCATTCTTGATTCTGTTGTTGTAGTTACTTTGCACTATTTCTATTATTTTTTCATCGATTTCATAGAGCAACGAGTAAATCTTTTCAAAGTAGTCAATATCGTAACTGGGCTTTATTTCATTCTTTTCTGAGCTTAATAATTCATTATAAAGTTTTTTTATTGAAATCCACTTTTCATCATTTTCTGTTACATAATTAAATAAGGGCTTAAATGATTCAAATTGAGTGTAAGCAAGTAAAGTGTATGCAAGTAAAATATCTTGCCCGAGTCTATTAACAGCTGAAAAACTTAGCCCATTATTAATTAATAGTTGTAACATTTCGAAGTCTTCATTCAGTAAAGCAACATAAGCAGCATAGTTACTATCTTGAAAAAAATGATTGGGATTTGCAAAATGTTTTAAAAGCAGTGACATAATATTTTTATTTCCGATTGATGCAGCAAAACAAAAAGCTGTCCTGTTCTGGTTATTAACATAATTAACATTTAATTTAATTTCGAGTAAGTATCCTACTAACCACTCATTCCCATTTTCGGCGGCTAGCATCAAAGCCGAGTCATTGTTGCGATTTCTTTGAAACGGGTTAGCACCGTAGTTAATTAGCTCTTTAGAAATGCCCACACGATTTCTCTGAACTGCATATAAAAACGCCGTGAATCCATCTTTATCAGCTAAATCAATGTTAGCTCTAAGGCCAATCAACTTATGAACGACCTGGAGATTACCGTTCTTGGCTGCACACATTAGTGCTGTTTGACCTGTTAAAGTACGGAAATCAACATCTGCCCCGTATTGTATTAATAGCTCAATGATATTCGCACGTCCGAATAAAGCTGCCAAAATTAGAGCATTATTTCCCTTGGAATCGATTTTGTGAACTGAAGCTCCGTGCCTTATAAGGATATTTACAAATTTCTCATGACCTTTAATTGTAGCAATCATTAAGGCCGTCTCTTTCAAATTATTTGAATGATTGCCGTCTACTCTTGCTTTTATCAATACATTTAAACAGTCACAATCGCCTTTTGATCCAAGATATATTAAAGCGGTATTGTTGTGTACATCTGATCGGTGTACCTGTGCCTCATATTCAATTAGTAGTTCCAAAATTTTGTAATGGTTGTTCTGAGAGGCTATTATTAAAGCTGTTGTTCCTTTATTGTTTGAAGCATTGACATTAGCCCCAGCCTCAAGCAAGAGACGTACCACTTCGGTGTGATTAAGATCCACAGCAAGAAGAAGAGCAGTATTGCCATCAGTATTCTCGGCATCTAAATCAACGCCAGAGGCAATTAGTGATTTGATAATGTCAACTTGGTTTTTACTTGCAGCAATCATAAGTGCTTTAATATGGGAATCACCTGGATCTGATATGGTCAATTCGTTAATATTGACTTTTAAGACCTCGCTCGCGGACCGGGTTATGTTAATTGCATTAAAAGCTTGCATTTTAGACAGAAATCATAAATAAGTGGAATATGATCTCAATCTGTAAAGTGAAATATGTATACTGATTGAGAAAACAAATGAAAAACAGTTCCTAAACTTTTTGGAATATTTGATTAAATGATAAACCGATAAAAATGTTCACAGTTTTGGAATGTCTGACACGGACACACATTAAAATTAAGAACATTTTCAAAATTATTTGTAACTTTTGGATAAAGTTTAATTGAAAATATCATTCAAACGTAAGCTTATGGTGAATTTTTAACATGTTCTATTCACAAGATGTTTATATTTGAACTAATGTTTATTTTTAAATAATGTCAACTAATTTTATAATGCTTCATGAAACGTGCAATCAACAGTTAATAATAATAAAATAGATCCGTTTCTTTTTTATAGCTGTAGAAATAGAATTCCATTCATAATATTTGTGTGTACGTACATTTTTGAACTTGGAGTGGCGATTTGTGAAAATCTAGACTAAAAAAAGCTTTCGCATTTTTGTGACTTATCTATTCGTCGAATGGGTGCGGATAATTTTTCAGCGCACCGAGCCGCGCGTGGGTTGCGAGAACACGTGCATTGTTCAAGCGTCGTATCGGCGCACCCGATGATTTGTATTGTTTTGATTGGGAAAATAACTTTCAAAACAAAACCCGTGATTCGCTTAATGTGAATCAGAGTCATCTATCTATCTACCACTAAAACTCAAGTTTGCTTATATGTTTGAATTTTTAATTTTTTTGTTTTTTTGTTTGGCGGGATACATGTCAAGTGAAGTAGCGTTCACCTGTTTTTGTGTCCTCCGCATTTAAAGGGATAGTGTGGTCAGAGCCATGCTCGCCCGAAATCTTTTTTTCAAATTATAAAAACATGTTGTCTGAGACTTGGCGGGACACTGGGCAGGTGAAGTAGAGTTGGGTAGGTCTTCTGTGACGTCAACATATGAAGGGATACTGTGGTCAGAGCCATGCTCAGCCGAAATTGGTGTCAGTATTTCTTCCAGACTTTTTTTGTGACGATAAGTGATAAACGTGATGTCATTTATGGATAACCCCCCGAAAGCCACAGTTATCCAAGGTATGTAGGGTAGTCTAGTATACTACTAAAACTCAAGTTTGTTACATGTTTAAATTTGTGTCTGTTCAAGACACTTAATTTTGGGGAATTTTGGGGCATTAAAATGAGTGTTTTTAATTGATCTACAATTTGAAAATTAATAAAAAATTAGTTTGAAGTTATGCACTTAAAATGTATAGCTGAGTACCCCAAAATATGGAAGAAGATTATGAATTCATTGTTTATTGGGATTAAAATATAATATTTTATGAATGGTGGAAAACCTACGAAGGGGTGATTTTTTCAAGATGGCCGCGTTGTCATAGTTACCAAAGATTTTTTTTACACATTTTATTTAGTGGAAATGCATATGCCGATGTATTTTAAGAAAGCTGTAAAGAAATAACTGTTTTCTAACGAGTATTAAAAAAGTTTATTTTTCCCCGGAGCCTTCCCCCTTAACGCATTATAAAGCTAACTTTCTGTCGGCTATAGCTGTAACGATACGTCCGTTTGCTATTTTTATTACGTTCCAACACTATTTTCAATTTTCAATATTTTTAAAAATTTTAATAAACAATAAATGTCTCTAAATCTAGAATCTGCAAATCAGCTGTCGAAGGAAAAAAAGTTATTGATCTAGAATAAAAGAAGAATATAACAGTAGTTACGTCCCTGTTTCTACGAGACTAGATAGTTAAGATGTTAGTGCATTAGGTTCCCATGTGGAAGGCATTGATTCGAGACACATCATGTCATTGTTAACTGATTTGTTTTCAAATTTTGTATTTTAGATGTGAATGATAGAGTTGCCTATCGGAACTTAGCGGGATACAGGACAAGGGAAGTAGAGTTCACCTGTTTCTGTGTCCTCAGTATTTGAAGGGATAGTGTGGTCAAAGCCAGGCTCCGCCGGAAAATGTTTTTTAAACGATAAAAACATGTTCCCTGAGACTTTGCGGAACACTGGGCAGGTGAAGTAGATTTGGGTAGGTATAGAGTTCACTTGTGACGTCAGCATAAGAAGAGATAGTGTGGTCATGCCCATGCTAACCCGAAATCGGTGTTTTTAAAAGACAAATAATAATCATTAAAAAAGTTGTAAAAAACTCACGTTTTCTGATTGAACTAAAAAGTAGAAAATAAATGCTATACATCACAATAATGCAAGCGATCACTCTACTATAAGCGATGAAAAACGTGGGGCGCCGAAGTAAAAGTTATATTACTATTGATTAGATAATACTATTGACTTTTATTAGGGAGCTTGTAGAGAGTCAAGAGTATTAGAAACTGTAAGAAAATCACGGCGCCCCACGTTTTTGATCGCTTATAGTAGAGTGATCGCTTGCATTATTGTGATGTATAGCATTTATTTTCTACTTTTTAGTTCAATCAGAAAACGTGGGTTTGTTAAAACTTTTTTAATGATTATTATTTTCTACTTTTTAGTCTTTGTCTGTTTGCATTAAAATCTTGCTATCGATTTTATCTTTTCACTTTTTTTTGGGTAAACGAAGACAACTCGTAAAAAGACAACTCGTAAAAAGACAACTCGTAAAAAACACGTTGTGTGAATACGTTACTGACTAGAACACATAGATTTGAACCCCTGTCGAGTGGGATAGCAATCGTGTGCCCAACCACTCGATCATATCGTCTCCCCCATACTGGCCACCAGTTGTTACGGTTGTTTGTACACAAATTACAGGTACTGGGTTATGTCCCTTTTTCCCCACGTTTTTACTACAACGAGCCGACCCGCGGCGTATCATACGCCGCTATTTAGTTGATTTATTTTCTACTTTTCAGTAATTCATAATTTGTGAATTCGACAGTACCAATGCTGCCACTGAAAATATTTGCTTTAAAACACTAACCCCCCTCCTTTCCCCTAACCCCGACCCTACACCCCCCCCCTCCCCTGTGAAAGCAGCCTCCTCTTAGTTACCTCCTGTAAGTTTAAAGTCGGTTCAAACTAAATTATCTGCCCCTAATAGCCGTCACTAAACCTGTCGTCTTTTTTTGTGATGATAAGTGACAGACATGATTTCATTTATGGATGACCCCCAAATCCCACATATATCTAATTATAACAGGTAGTCTAGTAATAATTGTGAGTCAGTTTCTTTCTAGCACGAAATAATACATAAATAAATTATTAACCCAAACTTTTAAAAAATAGCATTCGTGCTTTGAAATATCACTCTGTCCACATTAAAACAAACATTGAAGATTAAAACAAACAAAAAAACTGACAATGACTGCTAAGTTTTCGTACCTATGACACATTACCTATCGCGCTATCATCTTGGCTAGGAACGCTCATATCAATTGGTGAAATTGTTTAGTATTATTAAGCGTGCTCACCGTAAATATATAAAAAAATTAAGTATATGATCTTGTTTTAATTAAATGTTATTTTAATTTAACCTATTACAAATTAAAATAAATGCTAATTTTAAGGATAGATTATACGGATATTTTTTTAATTTAACACATTTCTGGGTGCTTAATAAATTCATATGTTAATAGCTGTTAACCTATTTAAAAAAATAATATATAGCCGCCAATAGCAGTACTGGTTGACATGAAAACCACGAAAAGGTGTGAAAACTAACACCATTTCAAACCCCTATAACTTTGTTTCCGTAAGAGATTTTCAAAAGCTGATGAAAGATTTAGATTTCTCAAATCAAACTATACATTTCTACGTTTATTCATTGCGATACCTTGTACTCGATTTTTAATACAAATTTTTAAGTACATATATGCAAAACAATTAGGGAGGGAGCTACATAAATATCAATATTTCCTAAAGTATTGTACTAAACCTAATTTACAAACGTAGTTTTGTAGATGGTATAATGCTAAATGCACGTGGAATGTTTCAGTCTTGTATGACAAAGGGTTCTAAAGCCTTAGCGATTTGAATGTTTGATTTTGAGTAAAAATGCAAAGTTGAGAAAACGTGAAAAGAAGGGCGGAAAAGGCGTAATGCTTTTCCTCTTATAGAAAACAGAAAAAATTCGTCTTGTTATGTGGGGAAGAATCATTTGACTAATAAAATACGCGTTGATTTATGTTGTAAGTTTTAGACAGATTTTTTTTTATGTAAGCAGAAAATATGTATACAACACGTAATGAATTAATGGCTATTAAATAATACACACCCTATCCATCGAATATTATTCTCAGAACAGCTTTCATCAAACCAGATTTTTTGTTTTTTAGCCGATCTTCTCACCTAAATACAATGTCTATCCCTACTTAAATTGTAGCTTACACAAGCTTATTGCCTACTACACAATCTGGGTACAACGCTTGGGACGAAACACGCCCCCATCCCACACCTCCCCACCGCTGGATAGTGCGTGAACCAATGTTACATAGATAACGTAACGTATGTTTATTCAACCGTGAATAACACATCCGTGTAGATAGGGTGAAGCACTGTTTCCGTACAATGAATGGTTATCAGCTATGCTATCTAGTTGAAAGCAAACCCTAGCAAACCCTACACGGACCGAAGGGCACACACATTAACACATGTGTCGTTTACAGTCCGATGTGAAGTCAGATGAACGCATTCAAGCCTTTCACAGTGCGATGTAAACAGATTATAAATTGGTCGTTTTTTGAATAGCGAGAAGGGGATGAGGGGGATTAAGGGGATGTACATTCTTCACACGACAGACATGTCCATGACGCATTGTTTCAGCTTAGTATAAAGCGTACCAAACAGTGTTTAATAGTGTCTTAATGATAATCAACAGTACACAACTTTAATTATTAACCTAACTGTTGTTGTATAATTTTAAAACAACAAATAGAAGAGTATATGAAAATAAAGTAAACAAACGAAGATAGGCGATTGTTTTGTTTATCTAGAAAGAAGATGGCTGCCTAGCACGCGTGGTTAGTTGCAACCTATCTTGAATTAATCTGATTTGCTGTACTATAATATGATTGGTCAAGCCCATCAATGAATCTTTTCCCATTCATAATTTTTACGCGCATGCCCTTATATGGAGTTTGATATAAAATGTTACATTGTAGAAAACAACTCCTATCTCACTTGTTTTTATAAATACAGAAAATGTCACTACACCAACGTAACGTTTATGGTGCCTCGCGGGCAATAAATGATGTAATACCGGCTAGAAGATAGCTGCTGTCTGCGTAGTAGTGTGAAACTTGCCGGGGGTACCATGTTTCACATCGCAATAAAAGGATAACCGTAGGCTGTAGAAGAACGAAATGTTCGGGTTAGATAGATAAAACGTATCAGTTCCGAATTAAGAAATACAAATTTCTGGGAGCAATTTTTTAAAATCGGAAACGTGTATCTTGTATCGCAATAAAAATAATAATTAAGGGCCGAAATAATTCAATAAAAAGCTCAATTATTTATTGTATAATCTAGAATTGAGTTTCTCAGACAGACCTAACAACCATAACACACATCTAAAAGTGGCTTAAGTCTATTTATCGTTAGTATTCTTGAATTAGAGAAACAGTTATATCATTAAAGCAGTAACTGAAAACAATTAATGCATTAAAGCTCAATTATTTATTCCGTTTTTATCGGCCTAATTTATCCGACAAACAAGCCATCTTTATTTTAAAGCGACACCCTGAACCAGGACCTAAGTTCAAAGTCCATTTCAGTTTCTTACACGCTGTCCTTATATAAGTAGATATTAAGTTACCTGTGTATAAACTGCAATGCTTTTTTGAAATAATTAAATATCTTAAACATTTTAGCGACCAATGCTTTTTTAGGACAGCAAATTTGGTTTAGTATATTTTAAATTCGCAGTGCATAACCTATTGGTTATAAATGGTTTTTATATGTGTTATATAGGTTGTACGTCGCTTGCCATACATTTGACAGGTCGCTCGACACGTTTGACTGCACTGGAATGTTCATGAAATTATTGATGCCCCAGCCCTTGATAAACTCGTGTCGACCAGTGAACTTATTTAGGTTTAATCTGTGTTGAGTTTTCATTCAAGATCCACCGCCGACACACACTCAGCATTTATAACTATACATTTTTAGAATACAGAGAATTCTAAAAAACATATTGTTTCTAGACTACACAATTTCTGGATATTTTTTTTCTTTCTCTTATATACGAAGTATAGAGAAAGTCTTGTAATCGTGCAAAAAAAATCGAGATTTTTACAAATCTCGAGGTTTTACACCTCACTGATACGGAACAACATAATTTTGTAATCTTGTCCGTATGTCTGGGTGTCTGTCTGTTTGTCTGTGTCTGTCTGTGTGTAAACACGTTAACTTGAGTACCGTTACAGCTAAGTTGATGAAATTTCATATATAAGTATTTTATCAAAATCGTAGATCCTGGTCAATTTTTGAGCGATTTCCGGTAACCGGAAGTGGTACTTTTTCTACTTTAAATTTTTAAAAAGCCTATAACCTGAGTATTATTTCAGATAGATAAATGAAATTTCACATGTAAGTGAAAGATCTAAATTCTCTACCTTTTGTCGAATTTTGAATCATTTCCGTTGACCGGAAGTACTAATTTACGCTATTTCCAATTTCTCAAAAACGCATGTAAATTTATAAACTACTAATAACATTCCTCACTATTATGCACATTTTATTTGGCGTTCACTCTACGAGATTTTGTTCTATTTTAAAAACTTTAAGTATTTAAAATGGAGATCCCAACACCAGTTGTTTTATATCAGATTATTCGAGAAAGTTTAGTGGAGATCACTCCAGGCTTATTTAACATTCTATTGTAACCTTGAATGTTTTGGACATATCTCCTTTAAAATACACACATGAATTGCCTATTTCGTCAAAGCTCTAGAATATGAATTGAAAAATGTACCTAATTCCATTACTTAGCTATATCGAGCAACAGTATAGTTATTAACCAATTCGAGAATTAATAGTAAGTACTAAGACGATAGCTGAAAATCTTAACACTAATTAGTAATTATTGGTGGCCTAACAATACTGCCACAATTCTACTAATAAAATAACTAGGTATATATAGATCATATGTAGGTAAGCTACATTGATTTGCTATCCGATCTCAAAACACTGCAAAGTTAAATATAAAAGCTGCTTAACCTACCTCAAAATTACGCCAGAAAAATCAGTTAATTTTATTAAATATGTTCCTATCATTTCGGTCCGAACGACACAGCTACCTAATGTTACTTGGGAATTTCCAGAGTTCCGCATAGTATTGAGGTTATTTTTAGCATTTGGCACAGAAATATAGTGTAGGATCTTAGCTTATTGTATGTTTTGTCTTGTGGCATAACACTGCAGCCTGATGTATGCCTCATGTATGCCTACTTACAGTAGAGGAATTGAAAAGGATACTTATTGCTTCAACCTGATTGTACCAAATGATATATGCGTAAAGTTTATTTTTATACAAACATTTAAAAATGGCAGTATAGGCCTACTTATTTTATTAATACACGTTAATTTCTTAATCGTTGCGCAGATAAAATTATTTATTATCATTTTCTTAGAATGATATTTAATTTAAATGCAAAGTTATTGTGTTGTGTCGTTATACTTTATTTAAGGACCAAATTTAGCACAATTTGAATAAAAATAAATTTACTTAACGGCGAGGATTACAGTCACAGACAAAAATTTAAACAATTTTTATTAGGAGCATTTGTTAAATTCATTTATTAAATACGACTGCACACTCAAAAACCTCGAGTTCGAAATTTAAAATTCAGTAAGACAATCTACCTACCTATATATATATATATATATATAGAGAGAGAGAGAGAGAGAGAAGAGAAAAGGAGAAAAGAGAAGAGAAGAGAAGAGAAGAGAAGAAAAGAGAAGAGAAGAGAAGAGAAGAGAAGAGAAGAGAAGAGAAGGGAAGGGAAGGGAAGAGAAGAGACGTGAAGAGAAGAGAAGAGAAGAGAAGAGAAGAGAAGAGAAGAGAAGAGAAGAGAAAAGAAGAGAAGAGAAGAGAAGAGAAGAGAAGAGAAGAGAAGAGAAGAGAAGAAAAGAGAAGAGAAGAGAAGAGAAGAGAAGAGAAGAGAAGAGAAAAAAAAGTGACAAAATCAAGGCTTATTATACGTAATGATATATTCATATATTCATTTTTTGATAAGTTAATTTTAATTTATTTTTTGACGTTTTCTTTCTTAAAGCATACATAACTTGTCAACATGATACAAATAAATTAAAATATTCCAGCGAACTGACTAAAACTAACTCCAATGGGACAGATAAGGGCAAGATCCATTACAGCATGACCAGCCAGTATTTATCTTTGACAATCAGTAAAGCAGACCAAAGTACGTTATAAGGCTAAAATTCACATTCACAATGCACTGTGTAACGTTTAAGATTGGGTAAACGGAATACTTTAAGCTGTCTTAAACAGTGACGATGCCGGAATATAATAAGCTATTCTTCATGGATAATCGAAGAACTTGACTCCTAAGCCGGTTTGTTTCTTTTTTTTTTTTATTGTGAGAATCATAGAAAATACACTACCTAATTTTTCATTTTAATAATTGTATTCTTAAAAATGTGTATTGTATGTGATTTGTTTTTCAAATATTGCGACACAAATTGTTATTACAAACCTATTCAAGTTCAAATTGCTTTATTCCATGTCTTTTCATTCGTGCTTTAAATAAGTGTTGGAGAAGCTTATCTCTAGACTTGTTATTGGGTTATTCGGTTTACAGCACCCACTTGTTCATTTGCATTAATATTCGATTCTAACTTTATTTTTTTTTACATTTAATTGTTAGTTAAGCTTCATTTTCAAAACAAATATATTTATTTATATTTTAGTTTTTTAACGAAGTTCTGAAAGTGTTCTAAACTAGATCTATGTTGTAAGCTATACGATAATTTTTTTAATTAAAGTTTACTTATTGTAACTAAACAAGTTTAAGGAATTATGTAGAGCAAGAGTAATCATAATGTGCACAAGGAAAAAAAAAGAACATTGTCGATCGAACAAGAAATGACATATGGCTTCTATTTTCTTTTAAATTTACAGATAAAAAAATTCTTTCGAGAAACCAAGAAATCACGACAAATAATCGAGACACATTGTTTCTGTATCCAAACCAAAAATGGCTATCCCGGACTCAACTTGGCAACTATATATGCAAGCTGCACTAGAGGGATCGGGAAATCAGATAGAGAACTTTCTAAAGGCTGGGTTTTATGTTGATTCACCAACCGTGGAGGGGATAACAGCTCTCATGATTGCGTCTAGTAACGGTCACGTGAATGTTATAACCATGTTGATAACCAATGGTGCTGATGTGGATTCAATAACCGATATTGGCGAAACTGCCCTGATCTTTGCTGTAAGGGCCGATCAGGTCGAAGCTGTGCGGGTACTGCTTGAAGCTGGAGCTGATGTCAACGCGGCGAAAAATACCGGGATTACGGCTCTCATGATAGCGGCATTGAAAAGCCATTACAAGATCTTAGATATTTTAATACAACACGGTGCGTTGGTGAACTTATCTGATGAAAACAACAGCACCGCTCTACTTCATTTAGCCTTCTCCGGAAATGTTGATTGTTTAAAGTTGTTAATTCAAGCTCAAGCAGATGTCAATCACACCAATACACAAGGTTTGACGGCTTTAAATATTGGTTTATATGGCGGACATTTGGATTTTATTCAGATTTTAATTAAAAACGGAGCCTCTGTACACAGCGATGATTCTTTAAATTCAAAATTCGTGTTGATTGCAGCAAGCAATGGGTATGCTGAAATTCTAGAACTTCTTCTACAAAACGGAGCTAATGTGGATTCTAGCACTGAAGGTGGTTTTTCAGCTTTAATGATGGCATCACGTCTAGGCTATGATAACGTAGTAGAAGTTCTTCTAAAGAACCGCGCTAATATAAATTTGCAGGATTCCGATGGCTATTCCGTATTGTTTTTCGCCATAGAGCAAGGTCACTTGGGTACAACTCGCCTTCTGATAGAGCGAGGCGCCAGTGTGTTTCACTTAACCACCAACAACGACACGACGTTAATGTCAGCATGTCGGGCTGGTAAACTTGACATCGTGAAACTTCTGCTGGACAAAAATGTCAACGTTAATTTGAGAAACAAGCAAGAGATGACGGCATTGCTTGTAGCTGCTTACGGTGGACACACAGATGTAATGGAAGCTCTTTTGAAACATGGCGCCAACCCTAACTACAGCACTAGTTTCCTTACAACTGCGTCCAGAATAGCCATAGGTAAAGGAGATACTAAAATGCTGAAAGTATTAATTGATGGTGGACTTAACATGAACGCGGTTGATAGCTTAGGGTGCAATATTTTACAAAGCTGCTTATCACAGTCTTTGCACGAAACAACATACTTTGAATTGGTTTTTCTACTTTTTAGCGATGAAGAAGAATGTGTTGAAATTAAAAGACTTCTAGACGAATTTCTTAATTTAACGAACGATAAGTCGAACTTCAAATCTTCAGAGCATACCGACAAGGTCTACATCTTAGTCACTACAATTGCTATTAAGATCAAGAAACTAACACAAAAATACCATAACGATACAAAAATTAATATCATTGGACACTGGATTAGCAAATCAGATCTAAAAACTGAAGGTCTGGCGACATTAGCTTCGGCGATAATATTACGCCTTCCTGACTGTAAAGAGATACTTACGCCATATTATGTTAATCGTCAGGACGATTCAAGATTTACAACAATCCAGCGTAGAGATCACGTTTGTTCGGTGCAAGATGCAGCAAACATTAATGACGTAGTCACTGATTCGGATATCGAGACGTATTTTAAGGTCTTTACGTTTCTTGACAAACAAATTAATGATATATCTAATATAAACATAGAGAATGTGAGGTTCAAAATTACATTAAAACTTTTAGGGTTGACAAAACTACTGCTTGACCCTACTGAAAAAATGGAAGGTATGTTTTTCATGAATATTTTTTAATTTAATATTTCGAATTTTACATTTCCGTCATAGTTTTTCGAGTTAAAATGTTTAGAGATAATTTCAATACTATGACATATTTTTGAGAGCAAAGAAATTAATAATTACACATCAAAACCACAATTTGTTTGTTTGATCCAGTTTATATATATATATATATATATATATATATATATATATATATATATATATATATATATATATATATATATATATCGGTGCCCTGTCAAAACGACCTGGGACAAATCGGCCCCGTCAAAACGGCCCCGTTAATATGACCCCGTCAAATCGACTCCCGACAAACCGACCCCGTCAAAATAGCCCCGTCAAAAGGGCCCCGACTTATTGGCTCCCGTCAAATGGGCTCCCGTCATATTGACTTGCGACATATAGTCTCCCGACAAATGGGCTCCCGATATTTAGGCTCCCGACAAATAGACTCCCGACATATTAACCCCTGAAAAATAGGCTCAGGACATATTGGCTCCCGACAAAGCGGCTCCCGACATATTGGCTCCCGACATAAGGGCTCAAGACAAATGGGCTCCCGGCAAATGGGCTCACGACATTTTGGCTACCGACAAATGGGCTCCCGACATATTGGCTCCCGGCAATTGGGCTCCCGACATATTGGCTTTTGACAAAATGACTCCCGACATATTGGCTCCAGAAAAATGAATGATATGACCACTATTGGCATAAAAGTAACCATTGTGTCCTACCTCCAATACCCCTATAACCTCTTTTTAATTCCCGAATGAAATTGTTTTTGATGAATCAACATTAATTCACAAACAAATCAAGCCCTTAACAGCTAAATTCCACCAATTCTAATGTTTTGATAATGTTTAATTTACAACAGAAAAGATCTGTTGCTTAAAAGCGAGCACAGAAGTGTAAATGTATGATATACATAATGTTACATGATAACAGCATTTTGTTTTGATAACCTACAAGCATATTGCAGTTAGGAAGGTACAGCGTGGACCCTTCTCCCCACACACTGAGTTGGAACAGCCTATAACCGACTCAATTATGGATGTCATAGATAGATGACCCTTAAATTAAAACATACTATATTTTATAATAGATAAACTAATATAAAAATAAGGCCTGCCGAACAAGAGATGCATACGTTGTATTACATAAGAGTGTTGGATAAGCTAACTCTAAAGAATATTGATGAAGGGGTCCCACTGGCAGGTGTCATATTCAATGAGACCGCTTTGCCGGGAGACTTAGTCTCTACAGAAACGGTATTGTCAGTGCAGTGGCGTAGGTAGGATTTTTGGGCCCCTATGCAAAAATTATCAGTGGGCCCCTTCGTCAGCCGTTAGGCCAGTGGCGTCGCTAGGTCGGGTCTCACCCGGTGCGGCACTTCGTATTGTCACCCCCTCCCAGGAAACAAAGCATATATATATATATATATATATATATATATATATATATATATATATATATATATATATATATATATATGTGTGTGTGTGTGTGTGTGTGTGTGTGTGTGTCGGCCTACATAGGCCTAAAATTTATATCTATGCCACATACTGGTACACGTACGTGTTTAAGCTTTAATCACTGCAGACTTAATAGTAACGATGTTTATCTACAGTCTGTTTATAATACAGTTGAATGTAGCATTGTTTTCTTTATAGTTTACGTCGTGGTGTCACACCCCCCCCCCCCGCCCTCTTGATATAATTTTCGATTTGTACTTAGAAGACTATTTAACTTTAACTAATGGATCTGTAAAAATGGCATTTCATTCTATAAATTTTACAATTTTTTGCCTTTGGTGTCCACCCCCTAAATGGTGTCACCCGTTGCGGTCCCCACCCCCCGCCTCGCCTTCGCTACGCCTCTGCGTTAGGCTACAGAGGAGTTAAACGAAGAGATCAACTTCTACTTACGATGGATATTTTTTAATATATAAATATTCTGAAGGCAACATTTTGTATTTTATATGTCCTGATTATGTATTTATACTATATTATTATGCTTGCCTACTACTGCTAAAAAGTTTATTTATAGGCTGATTCTCTCAATGTCTTGCACGACAAAGTGATATCGCCTGTAGTGTTATTATAACGATTGGGCTCTGTTTGACCCACAAACACTGAATCCCACTGCCGAAACGGTGGGGAGGGGGGGGGGGGTGGGGGGGGGGGGGCTTTTTGGAACTTTTAACCTTTTTCTTTTTTAAAATTATTTATATGTAACAAATATTAAAATTCCAATGTAAAAGTTTTAATTTTTTATGAGGGAAAAGGGCCCCTATGTGCCTTGGGCCCCCATGCCTTGCTTACGCTAGCTTTACGGTAGCTACGCCACTGTGTCAGTGGTCCTTTTGTCTGGAGCCAAATTGACAGGAGCCTTTTTGTCGGGATCCAAAATGACGCTAGTCTATTTGTCGGGAGTCGTAATGACGGGGGCCGTTTTGTAGAGAAACTAAATGGCGGGAGCCTATTTGTCGGGAGTCGTAATGACGGGGGCCGTTTTGTGGAAAAAACTAAATGACGGGAGACTATATGTCGGGAGCCAAAATGACGGGAGCCTATTTGTCAGGAGCCTTATTGACTGGAGCCCTTTTGTCGGGAGCCTATATAACGGGAGCCTATTTGTCGGTAGCCTAAATGACGGGAGCCTATTTGTCGGGAGCCTATATGACGGGGTCCATATGTCGCTGGCCCTTTTGACGGGGCCGATTTGACGGGGTCGTTTTGACGGGGTCGTTTTGTCGGGGTCGTTTTGACGGGGCCGTTTTGTCATTGGCCGTTTTGACGCCGCACGATATATATCAAATTATGTCTGAGCCTTAATCTTTTATAGAAATCCACACGACTAATCGGATTGGGTTGTTTATATTGATATGGTCGTAATTTTAAGATTAGAATTGCAGGGAACTGAAAGTTACCAACTCCACGTGTATAAATATATATATATATATATATATATATATATATATATATATATATATATATATATATATATATATATATATATATATATATATATATATGTTTTTATTTCTACAATGTATTTCATACTGCTTATATTTTTTTTAAAAAATTGCTGGGCTAGAACTTTTCTAGACATTGGTGCATTTTTAAATCAATTTGCTAATTATGGTTTATTCCGTTCCAATTTCAGAACTAGTACCAAACAATAATCAACCAGATTTGCATCAAACCAGGTAAGCTACATTAGCAATATGTAAACAAAATACATTTAATATATTTTATGTCATTTATATTAAAACGTATTAACATTTTAGAACTGGGTTAATGACTTAACTTTAACTAATTGATTTTCAGACCTGGAATGGGTGGAGAAAATAACAAGGAAATATCTGGCCACGCGCGCCTACATTTAGAAATGGGTTTTCTAAAACCCTTTAAAGATGTTCTTGATACTGGGTACGTAAAACTAAAGCAGATTAAACCTAATTTAAAATAGACTATAAAACATAAATAACGGCTTGGTGAAATGGAGGTGCGTATGAGTTCGATTCCCTGGGGACATAAGGCTGATATGCTTGGGCTTCTTCGGCCATAGCATTACCAAACCAGTTTCAATTCGGAACTCTTTCTGACTTAATGAGCAAAGTCGAGAGAGGAATAATGATGTGTAGGTATTGTGTGATCTGTAATAAGTATTGAGAATATTCTCTGCTCACTCAGGGCATAAAAAAGCAAATATGATTTTTATTACAACCTTTTTTTAACACTCACTTCCTCTGTCTGTCTGTCTGTCTGTCTGGATAGAAACGCCCGTGTGAAATTGCAGGCACTTCTAACTGACAGGTACGGTTCGTAATTGCTACGTGGGTCCAGACATGAAGACAGTGCATCGTGACATTCAATTTGACTTAATTGTTCGTTTAACTAATTTTTTATGAATTAATTAAAATTTGGACCGAATTAGTAGGCATATCTATCCACACGCGTCATGACGGCCGTGTTGGTCGTGGAGCGAGGGGGGCTCTACGTCACAAGCGCGTCATCACGTTCCATAGGCGCGCGATGGCTTTTAGTCGGGTCAGCAGTCTAGTTCTTTACCACTAGACTACGCCATCCCATAATACTGTGACATGTATAGTAAAACTAAATATACTATTAAAGCAAAACTGTTTTTTTAAAACTGTGTATCATATATTTGTTGCTACACTATATTGTCTTAACATGCGTATAACTCGTTAATAATAAAAAGTATAAAAATAATAAATACATAATAACATTTATAATTACAAGCTTTTATAAATGCACTAAAAAGAACAAAACAATACAATTTTTTAAAATATAAAATAATTTTTAAAAATATAATAAATCTGCGGTTAGTCGGGCTAAAATTTTAAATACAGATTTGTCAAAATTTCGGCGATTTACGCGTAATCGATTCGAAAAAACTGCTACCCTGTATTTGTGTGTGTATGTTTATCTGTTAACACAATAACTTGAATACCGTTACAGTTACAGCTAGGTAGATGAAATTTCATAGATAAGTATTATAAAATAATTAGTAGTTTTCTTTCAACTTTTTAGCTATTTCCGATAATCGAAATTGGAACTTATTCTACCTTTGTTTTTCAAAAGCCTAAAACTTGAGTACTGTTTTAGATTGATAAACAAAATTTCACATATTAGTAAAAGATCTAATTTTCTGATTTCTTTCAAATTTTGAGTAGTTTCTGTTGATCGGAAGTGATAATTTATGCTATTTCCGATTTCTCAAAAACGCATATAAGTAAATAAAGTACAAGTATTCCGCAATATTATTCACATAATGTTTGCCGTTCCGTTGGTGCGCTATTCTTTTTCTACGATATTCTATCCTATTTTAAAATGGTTAAGTAACTAAAAATGTATTTAATATAATGTCTATTTCCCGAGTTGCCAACCCTCATAGTGTTATATTAAAAAATTCGATAAAGTTTAGGGGATATTACTCCCGCTTTATTTGTTATAGCATTGTGATTTAATGTCACTATTAACAATATCTATAAAATATTTTTCAGGAAAATTGTCTACGAAAACTTTAATTTGAAAATTAACATTAAGCATGTTCATGCGGCGAAAATCTATCAGGCTGAGAAGGTGAACATTACTAAGACAAAAAGACTCGAAGTGTGCAAGGCTGACATGGTTGAAATAGTCAAGGCGAGAAATGTTGCAACAGAAGGAGGAATAATAAATACATACAAACGTTTATAATTACAAGCTTTTATAAATGCACTAAAAAGAAGAATATAATACAATTTTTATTAAATATAAAATAATTTCAAAAAAATTAATAAATCTGCGGTTACTTTAAATATACAAAAATTACTTCCTTTAAATATATTAATGCACTACTATTTATATCACTATAAATAAGCGAGGGCCGCTTGTTTAAATACTTATTATTATAGCGGCCCACGCTTTTATTGATAAATGTAAAAAAATATATAAAGATTGTATATAAAAAAAATAGACGACACATAACGTTTTGAAAGGATATATAATACACAATACACATTTATTGAAAATGTAAACAAATGCGCCTCCGCCTCACCCACTCCACCACCTCCTCACCCAGGTGGGTAAGTATTTTACTATATCTCATTGTCCCAGGCTGCGCCTGCGCCTCCACCAGGTGGGGGAGTATTTTCCTATATAACCTTTGCGCCTCCGCCTCCGCCAGAAATGCGGCTCAAAAGTGACCTTATATACTACTTATATAGTATATATTATGGTTATGTGGATACTTAGAGTTTAGAAGGTTCTTTAAAATTTCTATAGCAAAGAGTTTATTTGAATACTCCAAAACACAAACATAACATAAATGGACTAGACTGCATCTATTTATACAACCGTCATTGCTTTAGAAATAATTATTTTACTCCAATGTTAGAAGCAAGTGTTACATTTGTTTAAATATAAAACAATACAATCATAAATGGTAAACTAATTTTTATTTCAACAATTTTTTTTAAATATTCATTTGTATAAATTCGTACAAAAAAATAATTTGAAATGCCTGACAGAAATCAAAGTTCTAGAACCGACAACGATAAACAATCAGAATTGTATCTGCTCGACGTTTCCCAAGTTGTTTATGAACCAGTGATTATTTTTATCAACTGTTTCCTAATTTACATCATATGTGTTTTCGGCATTATTGGAAACATCTTCACCATTATCATCCTAGTCGTTAACGGCTTTAAATTGTCGTCGAATGTCGTGTTAACAGCACTCTCCGTTTCTGATTTATTTTACTCTATCACAGCTAGTGTCTACAGGCTTCCGTTTATAATCCGACTATTCGACACTGAAATGGGAGACAACTTTAAAGCGTATTATCGAGTTTATATCTATATATGGTACCAGTATGCATTTACCATCATCATAGATCTGGTTGCTGTAATTGCAGTGGAAAGGATGATAGCTGTAAGGTTTCTTTTAAGAGTTTCTCATGTTATATCTCCTTGTGTTATGTTTTGTGTTTTGCTTATTATATTCATCATTGTATCGCAACTATACGTCCCTTATACTTTATAAATAGATTTAATTCAATTTACATCAACTCAGACTAACAACACCATCTTCGGCTACGGACCTAGCCAGTTTTACTTCAACAATTATCACTTCCTTGAAATATACCGTAAACACGTTTTACTAAACACAAACGCAACAATCCTTACATTTATAATAATAACAAATACAATTTTGATAATTTTGAAAGTCAAAATATCAACCAAAACATTTAAAACAATGTCTTCATCATCAGCGTCAGTGTAAAGAATTAAAGCTTTAAATTCAGTAAAAGTAACATTATCCATATGTTTCTGCCTCGTAGTGTTTGTTTTAGTTCCATCCAACAGTGTAGATAATTATCTAATGTACTCTGTCAACTTGATCTACACTTCCAAGTTCCAAACATTGCTGTACAGCTCCCTGCAAGTTATAAGTCAATTGAATGCTTCAGTAAACTTTATTATCTATGTTTGTTTCAACTCAAAATTTTCTAAAACCTACAAGAAACTATTCACATATGCAGATATAGACAAAAAACTATAATACATTTGTATTTGAAGATAGAAGCCCTTTATAACGTTTATCTAAAATATACCCTTAGCTAGTTAAATATTTTGTCTAATAAGATAACAGGGTAACAATAATTTAATGAAATTGTTATCCGTTAATTGGGCATCTTGCATAGCGGGTTAAGGGTACTACTATATTTTCTATACATGTTTGTTTACAATATGCAGTTTAAATACAAAACTTAACATCAGCACAATCAAAATATATTTAACAATATATATTATATTAAAGCAGTGATAATCAGATTCAGAATAAAGCTGCACAAATTAAAGCATTGTTTCCCTTGTAATCGCACTGTGTATATGATTGCCGTGTCAATTAACATGTGTACTCACTCCACATCACCTTTCATTGCAGCAATCTTCAAGACGATTTTATTCAAATTATTTGAATGATTGATTGCTGTTATTAAAATTAAGAAATTCAAAAATTACAATAGCTTATCGATCGTAGATATATAATATTATTGTTGTGTAGATCTGAACGATAAGTCTGTGCCTAAAATTAAATAAGCAGTTAAATATGTGTGTTTGTGTTGTTTTGTGTTGCTATCATTATATTCTGTTAACTCATTTTTATTTTGAGGAATTATTATTAGCCACTGGCCACTATTAATAAACGCACAGCTTTATTGTGATTGAGATTAACAGCAAGTATAAGGATAGTATTGCCGTAAAGATCCTTAACAGCTGCATTAATACACAAATGAATGTAAAGCTCAAATACAATCAAATACATTCTACTTCCATCCAGCATATGTAATGTAGTGCAATTAATGCTTAATACATTAATATTCTAATTTTAGATTAAACTTGTTAACATTGCATTCATGAGGCATTACAAAAAAAAAAAATATTCAAATAATATAGATATGTATATTTAAAAAAAAATCAAATTAAATTGCAATTGTATATCTTTCTATTTAAAAGTTTTGAGTTTATATTTGCTATATACATTATTTATCCCCAAATTTCTAATTTGAGTGATTAATTTTGAGATTTCAACATCTTTGGGTTTAAGAAACGAAAATAAAATATTATGTCAGAGATTTATGTATCCTAAATGGGGGGGGGGGGGAGATGACATTGTTTAATAAAACATATGGTAAAGTATGAAGAAGCTAATTTGTAACATACAAACGATTTAATTCTAGATAGTTCTCAAACGGGTTAATATTTAATATTCTTTTGTTGTATTTAGTAAAAGGCTTTTGGATGTTAGTGTCGATGCATAATGTACGGGTCGATACTCTAAAATCGATTTTTCCATCAAACGGTTGTATCGGTAACAGCTAAACACACAATCTTCAACTTTACTGGAAGGTTAGCTGTTCTTATGAACATCGTGTTCAGTTTGGTTAAAATAGAATACAATAATTCTGCAATTTAATCTTCGGTATCAACATTAGCAATTTAAATGTTTATTTACTTTAAATTATAAGAGAAGAAAACAACTGGTGTCTGTGTAACGTTTCGATTCTCACCTAAAAAAAAAGTAATAATTTTTTTGTTATAATAACTTTAAATACACCGAGTCATGTTTATATTTAATAGTTTTTCTTACAATAATATTAGAAGACAATATCAGTAAACGTTTCAATGATCAAGTTAACGAATTCTATTGTTTTTAAAGATCTTTTGTTAGTGTTGTTGCAACAATAATATCCGTTTTAGGGATTGAAAACAACCATTTTTAGACAACTCATTTTCGAATCATGTAAACACATGAAATGTTATTGTTTCTATTATGGAAACTGAAAGCTGTTATTAAGTTGGCCTTTTTTATTTTTTTATTATTTGATAGGCTCATATACATTAAATAGTGAAACTGTTTTATAAATGGCTGAACTCGGTGCTAGAATTCGTAATTATTCAAACACGGACGGAGCATCTCCAGATGGTTAAAACTGTATTACTAAAGTGAACACGGCAACAAGACAAACTGACACAGTTAATTACAAGTTGGAAGCGAAAAAACAATAAAAAGATATGAGAAAAAAATAATTTCAGTGCATTTAAAGCTAGTTATTATAAAATGTGTTACATTTATTTTATTCAAATCTTCTTTTCAAAAGATTGCGTCGTTCACATATTATTATGTTGAATTGTACAACCATCTGAAGCGTAGTACACGACTGAGTCAATGTTCATCTTGCCAGTACTAACATCACGAAGCAAATTGATCTTGTGTATATCCACTTTTTCCGCTTGACAGATTCTAGCCTCCTGGACTTCTTTTATAATTACGCTGATGTTACATTTCCTGATCAAATAAAGTAAATAAATAAATATGGTAGCTGTGGTGAGTTTTATGCTAATAGTAATAAAACGGATAGTGTTATTATTATAAAATAAATTACAGGTACTATGGATGTTTCGACCCATGGTCTTCCTCAGCACACAACAGTGTGGTTTAAAACTATTGACATACTTTTCGACTTCGCCCACAGTGAAAACAAAGTAAATGCCATAATATCCAAATGAAAAGACGTGTGTAAAAGGAAGTTTGGACAACATTAGAAGTGGGGCTTGCGGGCGTGTTCCACGAAGAAGAGGGGTTACGGGAGGGGGTAAATGAAGAAAGAAACATGTTCGTGAGCACCCAGTCGGGGCGTCAGAAGAAGTTGGGATAAAATTTAACGAAGGACTATAGTTACCCTTCTTATCCATAGTCTATCGCCCCGTTAAAACGAACGTAGGTGACATAGAGCTCACTTGAAGGCCTGGGGCGCCAAAAAGCACCTTGTCGGGGCGCAATAGGACGCCTTGTATTCGATTTAGTGAACGACTATAGTAACCCTTTTTACCTACATCTTATCGCAATAGTTAAAACGAAAGTATGCACCAGAGCGCCCACGGGACAGTCAAGGGTGCCAAATTGCACTCTGCTGGGGCGCCGGCGGACGCACCTGATTAAATTTAGCTTATCCGCTAACTGAAATATAGAAGTAAACATAGAGATCATTTAGGAGCGGCTTCTAAACTGTTATTGATTACAAATAATATTTTTAAACAGTATGTTCAGTGTTTATAATAAATAAAAAGCAGTATGTAAAATATCTGTGTTTTACTTACCACCCTGCATTTTATCAATCCACGCTAATTATGCAATTATGTTTTCTCGACACCAAAACATCGTAATAAAAAGTATTATTCTCCCCGGTGTAATTTTTTTTAAAGGAAAGTAATTGTGTTTTGGCTAATTTATCAAGGAAAATGATTAGTGCTAAAGGACGAAAGGTAGTAAATTTCAGAAACAATTAGAATTTTTGTGAAGGGTGATACATTTTCTTTAATTTTGTTTAATGCACATGCCGTAAATTAACACCTCAAGTTTGGAAAATGAAACTTGTTTTATAAAACGTTCAATATTAATTGTCTAAATAATTAATTTAGATGATAAGCACTTTAAAAATATAACAAGTCAAGTTATATTCCTATATTACCACGGGTCCGTCCGCAGCCACATACAGAATTGAACTTTATATAATAGATCGGAGAAAATTTAGGGGAGGTCCCTCCCCTTTTTGAATTCTTAAAACTCTTGTCAAAGAATTATTTGCTTTTATAAAACGTAGTTAATGATTGATTGTAAAAAAAAGTGTAAATTCGATATTTTGGTGTATAAAAACAAAGTGAATAAAGTTTTCGTTTTAGGCCTAATAATCTTCAGGGCAGATAAAGTCGATTTCATCCACGACAGGAACGAGGCAGCGATTTTTGGAGTTGTCTCTCCTAGAACAGCTAAGGGCTACAACGCGGAACTTTTCGGTTCAGCAACCATGAGCTTTACCTACTTGACCATGCCGAATCCTTGTTAAGTGTATCAACTAGTTACAAGTGTTAGTGGCGGAGGTGTAAGGTGAAAATCGTTCGTCTTCCAAACTTAAGGCCAGCCTTGATAATTTTATCTACAAAATGCATTACATGTCACTGCGTATTTTTTTTAAAGTGAACTTACTCTCGACCTAAGCTCAAAACAATATCTTGAAACATCTTCAATGTAACTGTTGGTAGATCTGTGTTTTCAGGATTATCCTCTCCTGATCTGATAATTAAAATTCAATGTGTGCACAATGTACATTTTTAAAAAATGTAGTATGAATTATCTTTCAATGCTATAATAGGCATGGTGTCAAAAAATTAATTAGTTTAACCAATAACTGTAATTAGTCGATAAATTAATAGATAAAATACATAAATCCCTTAACCCTTGGATCTTTGGGACCTCACGGATTTGTGTTGTGAGTCTAGGGCTAAATCTCTCCATGTCTGACCACAACCGAAAGTTTACATTTAAGTGGTTAGCCTCGGTCACGAACATGTGGTCGCTGAAGTTCATCTAGAAACTATTTTGTATTAGCCGGTGACACCCAGTGTTGCCGTGGGTTCATATGTCAATTAGTTTTAATTTTTCTGTGTGCGCTTTTTTTCCGTTGCCCTTTTTTCAGTTGCGCATCTTTCTGGTCACCGATGCCGTATTAGCATCAGTTGTTATATTTTGAAGTTTTCTCTCCTGGATGAGTTGCTGTCCCTAGCTATCGAGGCTCTATAGCCCGGGGGTTAGAACTCGTGAAGATTTCGATAGACAATGCTAAATAAACATGTCAAAATACATGCAGGTTTTGGCATATGTATAGATAATCAAAATGTGTAAGTTCTTTACCTTAAAGAGTGTAATGCAGTTGCTCGTTCATTATTTAGTTCTTGATCTAGAGTTATAAAATATACATGCTATCAAATTGCTCAAGAATATATAGTGTTAATAACTATAAATTAATAATACATTTTGTTTGTAAAATAAAACGGTGTATTAATAAAGACATAAAACAGTTACTAAATTTTTAACAACATTGAGTGAAATAATCAGCAAGTTTTATGAACATTATATGACTTTAAAAATTACTAGAATTACAGTACCTTCAGATGGTGGGGTAGGATCAAGTAGTGATTTTGCCGTCTCTGAAAAAGTCAAAATCAGCTTGACTTTCACGTCGTCTTTGTTTATACCAGTCGCAACATTCATTATTTTGTTCAGAAACTCAAACACTTTCAAGAACGTCTCAACATCCGAACTAGTGATTACGTCATTAATGCATCCTGCATCGTGTATTGAAAGTATGTTACCGTCACATTCAGTAGCTTTCATATTTGATTGATCAGAATCTGTTGTATTCTTGCTAAGTATTTCATGACAATCTGGAATACGTAACATCACTGCCGCAAGCAATGTCGTAAAACCGGAAGTTTGTAGACGAAAGGGTTCAACATCCAGTTTTGTATGCGTATTTTCTAAAACAGTAAGCTCTTGACTAGCGTATTGTAGATAGCAGAACATTGCATGCAATAAAACTGTGTCTATTTTAGCCCCACGCTCTATGAGCAGACTGCTAGAATCTACATCTCCACGTTGTAAGGCTATCAGTAAAGAATTTTCCCCATTATCAGTAACACAGTGAATATCCGCGCCGTGATCTAAGAGAGCCTTTACAATACCGGCGTCTCCACACCGTGTGGCAGTAATTAGCGCGCTTTCATTTCCTGTTTTACGAATGTTGACATTTGCACCACTTTCCAGAAGTTTTTCTACGATAGTTCTATGACCTACCTCGCACGCTTTAATTAAAGAACTAGCACCTTCTTTGTCTTGAGCGTTGATATTCGCATTGTTCTGCAGTAAAGTATTTACTATATCTAAATGCCCTTTTGATGAAGCCACAATGAGAGGCGTTTGTCTATTGGTGGACGATAAGTTGACGCATGCGCCGTAGCCAATCAAAACGGTAACAGTTTCGGATTCGCCTGAGAATGCAGCAGCAAATAGGGCAGTATCGTGCATTTTCTTGTGGATGAAATTGACTTCAGCGCCGTAGGAGATGAGCAGATGGATGGTTTCAGTGTTGCCAAACAAAGAAGCTAGGACTAGCGGAGTATACCCAGTGTGTGTTACTTGGTTAGGATCAGCGTTATGGTTAAGTAAAACTTCAGCCATGGCACTGTCGTTTATCATACACGTCATCATTAAGGGCGTTAATCCTCTTTTGTCAATTAAATTAACATTCACATTGTTAATAATTAAAAATTGTACAAGGCTCGGATCTTTCTTTGGTACTTTGCGAGCCTCCTCTTTAAAATATAAGAAATACATATTATCTGATTTGTTTATCCAGTGTTCAATGATATTAGCTTTTGTATCGTTATGGTATTTTTGTGTTAGTATCTTGAGCTTAAGAGCAATTGTAGAGACTAAGGTGTAGACTTTGCTTGTGTATTCTGGAGACTTCAAATTTGACTTATCGTTCGGTAAATTAAGCAATTCGTCAAAAAGTTTTTTAATTTCAACACAATCTTTTTCTTCGCTGAAAAGTAGAAAACCCAATTCAAAGTATGTTGTTTCGTGCAAAGACTGTAATATGCAGTTGTGTAAAATATTGCACCCTAAACTGTCAACCGCGTTCATGTTAAGTCCACCATCAATCAATACTTTCAACATTTTAGTATCGCCTTTACCTAGGGCTATTCTGGACGCAGTTGTAAGAAAGCTAGTGCTGTAGTTAGGGTTGGCGCCATGTTTCATAAGAGCTTCCATTACATCTGTGTGTCCACCGTAAGCAGCTACAAGCAATGCCGTCATCTCTTGCTTGTTTCTCAAATTGACGTTGACATTTTTGTCCAGCAGAAGTTTCACGATGTCGAGTTTACCAGCCCGACACGCTGACATTAACGTCGTGTCGTTGTTCATGGTTGTATGAAACACACTGGCGCCTCGCTCTATCAGAAGGCGAATTGTACCCACGTGACCTTGCTCTATGGCGATAAACAATGCTGTACATCCATCAGAATTTTGTAAATTTATATTAGCGCGGTTCTTTAGTAAAACTACTACTATTGTATCATAGCCTTGGCCTGATGCTATCATTAAAGCTGAATAACCACCTTCAGTGCTAGAATCAACATTAGCTCCGTTTTGTAGAAGAAGTTCTAGAATTTCAGCATACCCCTTGCACGCCGCAGTCAACACGAGTTCAGAATTTAAAGAATCATCACTGTGTACAGAGGCTCCGTTTTTAATTAAAATCTGAATAAAATCCAAATGTCCTCCATATAAAGCAGTGTTTAAAGCCGTCGAACAGTGTGTATTGGTGTGATTTACATCCACTTGAGCTCGAATTAACAACTTTAAACAATCAACATTCCCAGAAAAGGCTAAATGAAGTAGAGCAGTGTTGTTGTTTTCATCAGATAAGTTCACCAAAGCACCGTGTTGTATTAACAGATCCAAGATCTTGAAATGGCTTTTCGATGCCGCTATCATGAGAGCCGTAATCCCTGTGTTTATCGCCGCGTTGACATCAGCTCCAGCTTTAAGCAGTACCCGCACAGCTTCGACCTGCGCGGCCCTTACAGCAAAGATCAGGGCAGTTTCGCCGGTAGCTGTCACTGCATCCACATCAGCACCGCATGTAATCAGCATGTTAATGACGTCCAAGTGACCTTCATTAGACGCTAGCATTAGAGCCGTTAGTCCCCCAACGGCTGGCAAATTAACGGAGAACCCGGCCTTTATGTACTGTTTTATTACATTAACATATCCATTCAATGCAGCGTGGATGAATAGTTTCCATGTTGAATCATCTGGGCTAGCCATTTAGACTTTATGCAAAAATAAAGAACGTTTATCTTTGCCTTCTTTCTAGAACTAAAAATCGATAAAAATATTATTAAAAATAGTTGTTTTTTTTAACTTAAATAAAAACAATTGTTAGCCACTAGTTCAGTGGCAGCAATGCGGTCGAAATTGAAAGGTAACTTCAAAATGTACGAGTTCGGACCTTAGGGCATTTATAAAGGGAGAGAAGAAATATGTGCAGAAATTCAGATACTTCAAGCGACAGATAAATTATAACAAACATTTCGAGTCGAATAGATATTAATAATTGTAATAGACATTATCTAGAGCCAACTATATAAATATATATATATATATATATATATATATATATATATATATATATATATATATATATATATATATATATATATATATATTTATTTATTTATTTATTTATTTATTTATTTATATATATATATATATATATATATATATATATATATATATATATATATATATATATATATATATATATTTATTTATTTATTTATTTATATATATATATATATATATATATATATATATATATATATATATATATATATATATATATATATATATAAAATTACAAACATATAGTCATTAATAATTGTAATAGACATTATCTAGAGCCAACTATATATATATATATATATATATATATATATATATATATATATATATATATATATATAATTACAAACATATAGTCATATGTATTATAATGGATTACTGATTAAATTACTGAAACGGTAAATACCAGAATTATCTATTCCCCCACCTTCCTAACCACAGGTTCTTTGTCCTACTTATATTTATCATCTTTCTAAACAAAACAGTATTATAATATCTTCAAACCTATTTATACATTTTTTTTTCAAATCCACATATACATTACTAAACATCTTTTCTATAAACGTTTTGATAAAGGTGATGGCATTGTAAGGCGCACACAATAGCTTAATTTATAAACGTTCCTAAACCACATTCTGCAATGTTATGTTTGGAAATAACCTAGATTCGATAACGAAGTATGACAAATTTATAAACAGCTTTCTTTGTTTGAAATATACTATGTCACACATGAATTCGTATGTTCACTACACAATCCGATTGTCACATTCATAAATATTATGTAGGTAAAACAACAAAAGATACTGAAATAATTATTGTCACTCTTAGCATTGACCTGAAAAGAAAAAAAAACTGTACACTCTGTTTCGCAGTAGTGTGTAGAAGAACTAAACCGTACTTTGGTATGTATGTTTGATACTGTGTTGGTTTTAGATACGCTTGAGTTGTCTTGTAGACCCCCCTCTTTCTTATCGCATTCATGTGCCTGGCCTTATAAAATAGGTACATGTGCAGGGTGGATTCGATGTAGAGAAACTTATTTTTATAGCTAAAATCTGTATTAAAGCATTTAAACACTAAAATCACATATTTTATAAAATATTGCGACCAGAGTTTTTTCCAGGCATCTCTTTCGAAATTCAATAACTAGTATTACCAGTTCTATCCCCCATCCCCCCTCCCCACACCTAAAAATTTGGAGTCCGCCCCCCTCCCCCGAAAACTTTAAGTGTCAACGGCCTGTATGGAGATTTACAAGATGACACGTAATACTTAATAGTGTTCGAGGGAATCCATTCAAACACAAGAATTAAGAACGAATTTGAAAAATCCTTATAAATACACGTTTTCTTTGATTAAAGTTTACTCACAGACTACAAGAAAGAGCAGCCGGTAAGAAACGTGAAGCTTGATCCTGAATCATCTTGAGACAACTCAGCTTTAACCGCGTTCTCGTGGATAGACACTATTAGATTGGTATGTGATTTCATCCATGGCAAACACGTATGACACACATAGCTTTTGACCACTTCAATCGGACGTGTAAATCTAACAAATTATTCCCCTGGCAGTTACAAACCCTGTCACTGGTCAGAATAAAGGCTACTATTGTCATGTCAAAATGTCTCCTTGAACCGTTAATACATAGTCCGCCCCCCCCCTCCCTCCTTCAATATACCCTGTAACTATCTCTAGTAAACTGTTATAGATGTTTCCCCGATTTTACTTGTGGAATTTAACACTTCAGTTACAAAAGACGAGTTCCTAATTCTAAACTGGTAAATTTTTAACGTTGCACATTTTGTTTCTGGAACAGTATATACAGTAGTCCCTGTATTTTAAAAAAATGTACAAAAGTAAATACTGGGTCTACAGATAAAGATTCGTATTGTTCGAATATTCCAAAAAGCAAGTGCTGATCGAATATGATTTATTTTTTATTTTACACCTATTACACTGCAATACATTCAGGTAAAAACAATACTTTACACAAATTAAAATTTAAAAATTGTTCATCAAAGAAAACTGTTTTACAACTAAAACATTTCTCCAAAAGAAAACTACATTTTACACAACTAAAGCAACAAAATGCACACGAAAACAGCATTGGCCACCAGTGTTTCTTTTAGGCATTACTTCGTGTGAGCTCGTCTCATGTCGTCTCCCCAATCCTCAATATATTTAAAATATATAAAGCAATGTATGTGTGTATGCGTGTTTTGTTTGTCTTTTATGCATTCCTACACCTCTCATCACATCGCCTTGAAACTTTGGGAAGTTGTTGTGAATATTCCTGAAGAGGTTTCTGCGGAAAAAGAACTTTCAAATTCGCAGGGGTGGCGCCCCGGCAGGGCACGATTTGTTTTTTCTCTATGTACCGTATATAAAAGTCGTTTGAAGTTTGACACAGTTCATCCCATCTCCATCAAACTTTGGTGAGTTGATTAGAACATCCCAGAGAAGGTTTATGCAAAATAATCTCTTTTGATTTCGCAAGGGCGGCGCCCCGGGAGGGTTCGATTTTTCTCTATATACGGTATATAACAAATCCAACTCAGATGCGGTTCGAAACTTTTATCCGTGTGCCATGAAACTTTGTTTTTCTGTGAGCACTATGGCGCCTATGTTAGTTGTAGCCAGGGGCCGTACGCGGCGCCTCTTAGTGTAATCAGGGGCTTCCGAGAGCGCCCCTCTACGTCCTCGACACATGTGCGGTCACCGAAGTGTGTTCTACTTCATTATTTTGGTGAGTGATTAACGTAAGGTTTTTATGCGGTAATGTTGGTATTGTAGGTAAACCCGTGTCCCTATATTTATGGTCCAATCGTAGGCATTGTTTACATTTAAATAATCAGTTTTAGAAAACAAGGTCACGCGCCTCAGAACATAGGATTGGTAACCCATTGATGAAAACTAATATATATATATATATATATATATATATATATATATATATATATATATATATATATATATATATATATATATATATAAATGTATATATATATATATATAATATATATATATATATATATATATATATATATATATATATATATATATATATAAATATATAATATATATATATATATATATAAAGCAATGTATATGTGTCAGTTTGTCTTTTATGCATCACTACACCTTGAATCCGATCGCCATGAAACTTTGGAAAGTTGTTGAAAATACTCCTGGGAAGGTATTTGTGTTAAATAAAAGGCAAATTCGCTGGTATGGCGCCCCGGCAGGGCGAGATTTTATTTTTTTTTCTCTCTACCGTATATAAAAATAAAGGTCGATTGCGGTTTTGTACGGCTGAAAGGGCATACTGACAAGTTAAATCAGTGTTTCTGTAAAGTAAATGATAAAATTTCAAAACATAAGTTTTATTTGCTGTAGGCCTACACAATTCACTGTTTAGCAAGAAGCAGATTCATAATATTAATTTGGTGTTCACTTAGTAGAACTAGAAAAATGAGATTTAGCTATTTTGTTAAATTCAAGATGCTTCCTTATGTTTGAAAACTGCATTATTGAACACTAAATCTTACCATAATATAAGCCATTACCGTGACCCGAAGCGTTAGCATAATTAAAGACATTTACGTAATAAAGATGAATGATCTTCCCTAAACTTTCTCAAATATTCTTATATAACACTACGGGGGATGGCAACTCGGGATATATATAGACTTGATTTTTAATCAGTTTTTTCATACTTAAACTTTTTAAAAATAGAATAGAATCTCGTACAAAAAAAAAATGAATTGCGCACATAGGAAAGCAATCAACATGTGCATAATAATGCGGAATACTAGTACTTTATAAATTCATATGCTTTTTTTGAGAAATCAGAAATAGCAAAACGTACCACTTCCGGTCATCGAAAATTACTCACAATTAGAAAAAAAGGCAGAAAAATAGATATTTTACTTATGTGTAAAATTCCATTCATCTATCTGAAACAGTACTTAAGTTATAGGGTTTTTAAATAAACCAAAAGTAGAATAAGTTCTACTTCCGGTTCCCGAAAATCGCTGAATTTTTTATTTATTTTTTAATTTAAAGCTTTCAAAAAAAGTTCAAAAAGTGTATCTAAAATGCTTTTTAAGAGAGAAAAAGTTTACAATTCTACTGCTTTGCTTACATATATTTGTTGATTATAGCAAAAATTATACAATTTAATTTCTTAGCGTAAACCAACGATTTAAGGCTTTGCCATTATATATTTTATTTTAAACAACTAACTTTTTAAAAAAATATTACAGCATTTTATTGTTGACGATTAATTTTTGTTTTTAATTTAAATGATTTGTACTACCACTGAACATTAGAAAATTGCGATATTTACATTGAAACAAACACAAAGACACACTCTAAACTTAAGAATTATTGATTTTAGTTTACGTCAGAATAGAAGCCATTCTAGCTGCATTCAGCAAGATCGATACTGGCGTTATTTTGAACGAACTGTGCTTGATTGATTTTATAGAATCAATAGTAACACACTATTGAGGGATAGCTCTTAAAAAATGTAGGCCTACGTATGACATTGAAAAAAAAGTTAAAGAAAAAAAGTATTTTTTCGGTGAATTTTTATTATTATATATATATATATATATATATATATATATATATATATATATATATATATATATATATATATATATATATATATATATATATATATA